CCCTCAAATGCCACTTGAATGTGCCCTAAGGCTAACTGATTTGTGGATTACAAGTTTATTGATTGATTTAAATTATAAATTTATTAATTTTTGCTTCGCTTTTAGCCCTGGCTAAATCTATATATTAAAGAAAAGACGCCGTACCAACATTTTGGAATAAGGTTTATAACCTGATATGATATGCTATGCAAAGCAAATAGGAAAACAAAAGTATTGAAAATCTCATGCTCGTCAAAGGAAGGCTTCCGTTCCGGGACCTAGTTCTTTGTAAGACGATTAGCGCTTATGTAACAGGAGACCATTTTTTAAAGACGATTTTTAGGGCAACAATGCTGGAACAACACTGAGTTACGTTAAGTTACGTTACCTCATTAAAAACTCTCATCAGCCTCATGAATGAGTCGATATCTTGTTCCTCACCGGTTATGGCTTCGATTCCAGGCTCAATACGCTTTAAGAAGGAGTCAAGATCATTTAAAGTCGAAGAAACCTTGAAAAAAAAATAGGGCATTGAGAGTCACTAAAACAAATTTGATTCAGGAAAACACCTGATAATTTCCAAAGGTAATAGACCTTTGTCACGCGGCGGCCATTAAAGCTTTTTAAATCTCCTGAGACAAATTGACCGCCGCGCGACGAAGGTCTATTCTGTTAGCTCTGTCGACAAGTAGAACGATCTATGATACCTGGTCGGAGAGATACTTCGTATAGACAAACATCCACTTGCTAGCGTAAGTGCCGAGTACTTGTTTAATGGGACGCATGTTCACCCTCATCCAGCCAACATCGCACCAGTCTTGTAAATTGTAAATCTCATCTCTTGCCGTCTAATAAAAGTGTAAACAATGATCATTTTCTAAAAAACTACCAAAATTTTCCACGCTTAAATCGTGCATAGTGGCTTAGGTTTTTCCGGATCAATATATGACGTATCGCTCTCAAAGAACTTACGCAGTAAAGAAACAGACTCGTCTATCACATGAATTTCTAAGTGCTTGCATCCTCGGTCAGTTTACAAGGCTTACATTTACCGTGAAATTCCGAAAAAAAGCGCCCAAGCCGGTAACGCAAAAAAAAAAAACCGTTAAATCGCGCCTTCAAATATAAGCCCCCCGGGGGCTTGTACTTGGAAAATTGCCCTCAAATACAAAGTAAAACAAAAGAAAAAACGACAAATTTACTTCCAACTATAAGGCCAGCCCAATCGATTTTGAAACGCAAATATCCCTCCGTAGATAAGCCCTTCCGAACATAGGCCCCTCCAAAAATAAGCCCAAAAAAGGGACTTTGCAAAATATAAGCCCCGGGGCTTATTTTCGGAAATTTAAGGTATTTGGCTTTGCTTCAGGGAACCGAAAAAACCTTTTTTAATTCGTGGCATGGCGGTCATCCCGCATAACCAATGTTTTGTTTCCTCATTTGCATGGGCATTTATTCACTTAATAAAACAGTGTTTTCAATCTTTAATCGCTACACTCAGTTTAATCATTTTTGTCTAAAAGTTGATGATTGGATGCTCTAGAAAGAATAGAAACAGGGGCAACCAACGTCAATTTTTGGAAAATATCTGTTGGAAGACGATTTGATATCTAAAATTTTCGGAACATTTGTTGTAAAATTTCTTGCTTGCCTACCTCTCCTAGGATTTTCGAACAAAATGGTATAATTGCCCGTTTTTAACGGATTTTTACCCTAAAAAGGTCTCCTAGAATTTTCGGGAGCCTTTTTTCAGGCTGAAATTTTCGAAAAGGTAAGTTTTGATCCCTATAATTTTCGGATCACTAGACTTTTTGCTACTAGGAAATCCGAACAGATGAAAAATTTTTAGGGGATAAAAATATGCCTATATCTACCGTTTAAATACTAAAATATGTTCAACAATGCTATGTTTAAGTGGTTTTGAACTATATTCTCGTTGGGTGCCCCTGTAGAAAAAATACCCGAGAAGATGCTTTTGAAAAACAGAAAAAGAAACCCGGATTAAGATGTAACTCCGAGTTAGTCGGCCTTTGAACAAGTGGGCTAATGATGACGTTAGTAGTAAACTAGTTACAACATTTAACAATTTAGTTTTCACTACCTAATCTGCAACAGCGTGGAAATTGGATTCAAACAAACCTGGTAAATCTCAATTTCCTTGTCGAAGTCATCCAGGGATGGCCCTTTCTCGTCCCTAACTTCTTTAGAAGCTGTCATTTTCTTGGGATTCAAGAAAGTCTTCTCTGATAATCCCATCGCACCACTAGTGCTCAAAGTAGAGGCAGCTGCTGAACTACGATTGGATCTAAAAGTAAATTCATTTCCAAGACTTAGGGAGCCTGCGCCACAGACGGAAATTAATTAACTTCTTGTTAAGTACCTCCGCGAAACTGTGCCAAAATCCTTGTTCTGGGTCCCCAGCTGTGTACTAGGATTTGAGTTCGCGCCATGATTGGCCTGTTTAAGGAGCCATTGTCACTTTGCCAATAAGGTTAAAGGGAAATTCGAAACGCACTTCCGGTTATTAGGGAGCTTTAGCAACGACGACGACGACGGCGTCAAGAACGGATCAAAAGCAGTAGGTTTCAATTAGCAAAACAAAACTTTGCACGTGAGCACGTTTTTTTGTGCATTTATTTGCCGTAGTTGCACGACCACGACGTGAATCTGCCTAATTATAGGTTTTCACACAATGAAACGAGGTCGAAGCTCGGTTGGAAAATTTCATACAAATCACTGCATTTTGTCACCTCTAGCCTCACGTTTGCGCCTTTGTTCACAGGAAAGTAGGAAAGGTCTATTGCGACTCCGATGCTGCGCAAATTCAGGCTATACAAAAAAAACCTGTCCCTGCGACACTACTGTAGTTTTGTTTCCATGCTATGTAAGTAATGACTGGGAAGTAAGAAATTGAATTCATTGAGGTACGTAAATTTTTTCAGACTCCCGCAACACGGTCGTCCGATTTTAACAATCACTCATGATTACAGACTTAATTGGACCGGCTCCACTCACTCCTATTACAATTATTGGTCTCTCAAGTATTGTTTGATAATTTGCTACAATGATAACCAATCTTAACGTCAATTGCAAACGATTGTGGTTAAGTTTGCTCAGCACCCCAACGCGTAATTTGAAATGTGAAAGCTACCGAAAATGTTACAGCTTTCCCTGACATCAACTATTTTTATTTGCTATGCATGCAAAAATCATTAGCGATAAATTTTACCTCGGATCTCTTTCTTTTTCCCTTTTTGATTTTTCTGATGTCATGGACGCTCTTGATCTCAGTTGTTCAGATCGATTCATCTTCCGTGGATGGGCAACAATGTTTCCAGCAAGGAATTCCTCGAACGTCCGCTGTACGTCTTGTATCCACAAAAATGCATACTCACGGAAAGTGGCGAGAAAACTCTGAAGCAAAAGCATTAACATCTCTCATTATACGACTGAGTCCGAGGAACAGACAGAAGACACCTTGGGCCCGTTTCTTGAAAAGCTCGGTAACTTTTCGGGTGCGAAGGCAAATTTTGAAATCAAACCCGGTTGAATAGTAGCGCAGTTCCTAGCTCAGAAACTGGTCAATTTTGCTTCATTCACTGACAGTTTCATTGTATCATTTTCAAAATTAGTGAAACTTTGATCTTGAATGCAAACACGGCCAACAAACATAAAACAACTTTTCGGGCCCGAAACGTTATTGGGACTCTCGAGAACCCCTCGAAAGTCCCGTACAGTCCCCTGACCCCAGACAGGAGACAGAAGAAAGAAGGCAAAAGACAGCAAACACCGGATACCAAGCAGAAGACACTGATGCCCGAACAGCTTCAGATTTAAAAGCAAATAAAAATAACGCTCGCCTTCCAAGAGTAAAAATTACCGGAAGCAAACCTGAAAGAATTCTGCTGCTAATGACAATTACTGCCCTTAAACTGCAGAAACCTCTAGGATATTTTTTGCCGCTTTTTTTTTTCTTAGCAAAATAAAATCCAATTGTTATTTTTAAGAACACTCAATCGATAATCGAGCTACAACCTTGGACAAAACCTGTAGAGACAAATTCTAAAAATACCTAGTTATCCCCCGTCATCCTGGAAAAAATGGAAACCATCACTATATGAATGCTCATTTCCCCCCAAGGGGGACGCCCATATAAAAGTGAAGGGGATGCTCTTTGGGGTGTAAATTGCTGATTTTGGTCTCACTTAGGGTGTTTGGAAGGGAAAGTCACTATATTTGCCAATTCAGGTATCGCTAAGTACTAAGCATAAAGAAATTTACAAAAAGTGCCTTGACACGGACCACACAGAAAACTCCCCTAGGGGTCACTTTAAGCTTGAGCCACACCCACATTTTTCCCACAATTTTCCGACCAGCATCCCGTCACTTTTATATGGGAGCCCCCCGGGCGTTTTCCCCCATCCCTTATCCAATGTTGTTTATGATGACGCAAGAATTACATGCTTTGCTTTTAGACCAAAACAACAGATTTGAATAGGGGATGGGGAAAGTACTTTTTCTGTTTAGAAGAGATGACACGGCGTTACAAAACAGATGGAATTGTGTCAACTGTTTTATCTGGCGTTGTAGCAGTTGTTGACGGATACCACTCGAAAGCTCCAACTTGATGTGCAGTTTCAACGCTAAAATACAGGTGTGCTGAATTGTTAAGCACTACAGATGAACTTACTTTGCATTCAGAAGCATTTTGTTCCACCACTCCTTTGGTTTGCTTCACCAATGTCTGGATTTCTTGATCTTCGGCAATGACTTCTTTGTAACTCTAGAAAGACAGAAAAATTTGGAGTCTTCAGACAAAGTGTCCCTTTCTCCTATGTGTGAAATACAAACCTTTTCTTGCAGAAACCAAGTCAACCGTGAGCAAAACCCATCAAGCATTTGAGACAATTTAAATCGTCCCCTTGTTCGAATGAAGTCTAAGAAACTGAGTGGTATGATTACTTGAAGAAAACAAGGCATTTACAAGTCATTACAATAAACATCAATCTTGTCTGTCCTATCCACTTGTCCCATCTATCCCATCCTTTCCACTGGTTTGTCCCATTTGTTTGTCCGTCCGTCCATTCCATCCGTCTGTCTGCCCTGTCCATCCCGCCTGTCTGTTCGTCCGTCAGTCCTTCTCATCTGACCGTCTGCAGAGCATTTCTAAAGACAAGCCATCTGTTGTCCAAAGAAGCCGTTAAACTTTCACCCAAACCATGAAATTCCTACCTTTAGAGCTTCATCCACAGGTCTGACCAAGTCTCCACGACTAAGAAAGTCATTAAGCCATCCCTCCACGCTCTCCTGAACACTGGAAGAAGCGGAATGATCATCCAAGGATGGATTAAACAGTACTTGGGCACCAATAAGTTCCAAGCGAATTGTCAATATAGGGAGCAGCTCAGAATCCTACGAAATAAAACCACAAAAAAGATATTAGTATAGAACGTTATTCAATGGAGACTGAACATTAGCTTCTGTGATTAAATTTCTACGATGGCGTGGGCTTAAGGACTGGTACGTCTGCTGGTAGGGCACAAGTTTACCGGCAAAGCTTTATTCTTGAAAAACAATTGTACTCTGACAGTGTGGTCAAGGATCGGGAACAAACAACTCTGGCATAATATTTTAACATTTTGTTATTGTTGATCTCCATATAAAATAAAACGAACTTTTATCTCGACTACCTTTTGCCCTTTATTTACCGTACGCGCATCATAAGACAGATCATCCTTGTCGGAAGACCTTAGATAACAATGACCTCAACCAGGCTGTGGCGTTCAGCGGTTTTAGTGAAAACAAGGGTTTGGTTTGGGTGCTCAGACTCGCGGGCTCATAAAACCTGGTCTCGGTCATTGTTATTGGAAGGATTTTCTGTCTTGATTGTTTGAAACTTGAAACTACCGACTCTGCTGACCGAGGAGGACGTTTTTTATTCCTTTCATTCTGGTATCCTGTCAAATTTCACATTCTGATAAAAATGTTGCTAACCTGTGACATGTTGGAGAAGACAATTTGGTTGAGCATTGATCGCAGTGAGGTATGCGTAGAGTTCTTCAGTCCTTCCATCACAACTCCGCTGACATGCTTGGTGTAGCTTTGCCATGCAGGTGAGGCGCGGCTTATCTGGGCTGCCTGTGCACCAAGTAAACAAAAACGAATATTCTTACTGCTGGTTCACCCGAAGCATTGTCTTGGGGATTACCACTACAGCTGCTTCTATCACACGTTCAGCAGTCTGTGGTAGGGCCACTCAACTGTAAACTTCACAGTAGTGCAGTGTTCCTCTTTACGGGATCTTCCAGTGATAGTTCAGGAAAAATAAACCCAACTGGCCACGTTACAGAGTTTATAGCCATTTAGCCTGAGAAAGCAGCCTACATCTGGTGACGCCAGCACTTGTTTCCCACGAAATTACGTCTTAGAAACGAAAGCAGAAATCTCATACTGATGATGTGTCACAACCCAGGTGCAGTGCTGCTGATTGGATGAAATTTCCAACAATCAGAAGCACTATCCAGATCTGGGTAGTGACACATCATCAGTATGGAGTTTCTGCGCTCGTTCCTCAGACGTCATCTTGCAGGGATACCAGTGGTGGCGTCGCTAAATGTGAGTTGTTGTCTCGAGAGGAATCAGAAGAATTCTCACTTTCGTAAAACTTTAAATTTCATCTGAAATTTTCGGGATAAAAATACTGAAGCCTTTGTAATTTCGAAAAGACTCAAGTTGCCCTAGGATGACCGAACAGATACAACTTTTATAACGCCGCTTAGAGATCTCAAGGTACACTAGATAGCCTAAAAGCTGTGTTAATACATTTAGGAGGAAACCGTCGCTGGTTGCCCCTGCCAACAGCCATGGCACAAGCTCTGATTGTTACCTCAAAGGTAGATTGAAGTAATGCATGAATTCTGTGTCCTCCTATGATGACTGAGTGCTTGTGACCCTCATGAATTGTTCTAAAAATAAAAAAAATGTACTTAACCCTTTTATTCCTAATTGTGGCTTAAGTTAACACAACACAAAACGGCAGGCTTCTATTTGAAAAATACAAAGGAACAATTAGTTCCAAGGAAAAGTTCTGCCGAAAAGATTCCATTTGGATGGTAAAACTATAAAATTTCGTCCACTAATTTGAATTTAAAAGTTGCAATAATCTGGCAATAACTTGGAGTGCTTACCATGTACACAAACCACCCAGGGTGGAAATCGTGCGCATAAAAACAAAACTATAAAATTTGAAGCGGTGAGAGAACGATCCGCTACAAAGTAGATCCAACGCAGCTGAATAAACGCAAAGGAGTAGAAAAATTGCATTGTCTCAAATCACAGCCATAATTTCTTAATATTCCCAGAACAAATGGCGCACATCATTTGATTCTCCAACGGAAATTTCCGGCTTTCCAATGTAAATGGTAACTGCTACTGATCTAGGAGTAAAAGGGTTAACCAAAGAAGTTCAAACCGTTTATGCTTGGAATAAGAACCAATCGCCTAGTTTCTTCTACAAAATGCTGGTAACAGAAATTTTCTTTTAACAAACCTATGCTGGTCTTGAAGTTGTTCCATCGAGAATGATTTGCCTGAGTCTCGTGGGCTAAACACATCTAACTGGCCATTGTCAGACCAAGACGCTGTTATATTACATATCTCTCGGAAGTTGCTTTGGACCACTCCCAAATTATGATGAAGATCATCGCAAACCAGATACGAGGCGTGTTCCACAAAGTCTGCTGATTCAACAGTTTTCCACGTGTACACATGTAGGCCTTGACCTAAGAGCTGAAATATCACAAAAATAAGCTTTCTTAATAAGGCTCAATTCTCACTCCAAAATTTTAATGAACCTGATACACTGAATTAACTACATGACAAGTTAAGCATCTGAATCAGTTGTGAACACCTAATCCAATTTATCCTGGCCAGGCGGGGAATTTCGACTTTGGAACGGCTTTCATTCCAACAGTGACCGTTTCATGTGCCAAACCTAATGCATCTCGGATTTCCCAAGCAGTTTGACTGAAAAGAACATTTTCCTCCTCGTGTATTTAGTTCGGCTGGAATTAAGATCAGCGTCAGCATCAGTTGATGCGGTCTTAATAGTTTGGGTTGGCCTTAATTCTAATTAGGTTAGGCTCATGAAAAGTTCGGCGTCTGAACCGGAATAACTAACAACAGCAATTAAAGTACAAATATTGAAGTAGATGTATGGAATTAATACAAACGTTTACCAATATTACGAACGGTTACAGACACTTATGAAAGAAAAGTTGTTTTAAACCAACCCAATTTTCTGTCTAAATTTTCGGTGGCCTTTTTCCACTAATCATACATTGTCTGAAGGTTCTTTGGTGTTCGCGCTCACAAACTTTACTTTGTATATAGCCCCAGGGATAATCCCTATGAGGGCCAATACACGGAGGCTCCACCCAAAAGGGGTACCTTTTTCAGGCTTCAGGTATATGAAAGGGTAGGGAACTCTGACTTTTTGGTTGGTAAAAAGGCCCTTTAACTCTTTCACTGCCAAATTTAACAAAAAGCAAACTTCGACCAAATTTCCAAATGTCACTTTCTAAAATTTTGAAAAACAAATAGCATCATGTGTAAGTACAGGTAGAGAGCTTTCATTTGAATGGTCACATCATAGGATTTCATCCGCAGACTTTAAAGTTAGAGTCACCATACAAAGCTTCATCAAGTACTCTTGCAGTGAAAGGGTTAAAGACTAACAGGTGCACTTGAAAAAATTTCGAGAATCGTTCTGGTTTTATTTATTCATATCTTAAAGAGAGTTATTTACAGCAATTTCAAGGGATGCAAAGATCTAAAGGAGGTATGTGAAAGGGGTACCATTTGCCGGTGGAAGGTATACCAAGGGGTACCTTTTCTGAAAAAAAAAGGCATATAAAAAGGTAAGGCGTTGGACCTCGGGATAGAGCCCTCCTGCACAAAACTTTGTTAAGTATTGCCCGTATATAGCCTGTCGATGTTTTTTCTTTTTGCACTTCACATACGGAAAAAGCAGAGCGCAAGGGAAAAGCGAGAACTAATATAAAGTCAGGCGCAAAATCCCGTCCCAAAACAGTGAATACGGAAGGCAATCAAAACACGCGAAAATTGCTATTCACTGATTTGAAAAATACTAACTAAGGAGATAATCAACGTACAAACACTTTCCCAAAGTAGGTAACAATTACGCTCTATTGACGTCGAAACCCACTGTGCTTTTTATGCACTGGTACCCAACCAACCAACTTTCATCCAACAGACAACCCAATGGTTAAGTTTTTACAACTGAGGGATGAAGGAGACATTTTAAACACACATCTGTTCTTAAATAGTGATGATAAAAGCAAGACACCCTGGTTATTTAGCTCACATTTGCAGTCGCATCACTTTATTATCTGCGGTTATTTAATCTACCGCTCTCGTCATTTTGGTTAACTTTACCCTAAATCATCTCCTCTTTTTTGCTCTGAAAAAAGATCTTTAACCCAACAAATTTTTAATCTTTTGGCACTTGTCAAAACAACACCAAAATAGTTATGACCAGTTATATATTAACACTTCATCAGAACGCAATTCCTTCATTCATTTATCTTTTTGTTCACTAGAATCCCTAGAAATCTTTGAACAGTGAACCTCGCTTCCTCACCTCGTCGATCTTCGCAAGTTTCCTCTCAAACAACGGTTTCTCAAAATCCTTCATGTTTACCATCACAAAGTTATAACGTGAAACAATGGTATCAAGTCTGGTGGCGGTGGATCTTAACAGAGCGTCATCTGTTGATCGCAGTAGTATGCGAGCAGGGTCGGGAAGACGAGCCAAAAATGGCTCTCCTCCTAAGTAGTGTACCTCCCTCAGAAGAAGCATTAGTTCAGGGTCAAAGTTGACATGTAACGTTGGTTTACCGTTGTCAGTCTCGGGCTCTGCAATCTGAATGTCAGAACGTACAGTCAAACAATTACACTCAATAAACAACTTGAATGACCAGGGTGACTAGGGTAACTAGGATGACTAGGGAAACTTGGGTGACTTAAGTGACTAGGGTAACTTGGGGGACCTGGGTGACTAGAGTTACCTAGCTGGGAGCCAAGGTGACGAGAGTGACTTGTGTGACTAGGGTGACTCAGGTGACTAACTGAATGCCAGAAAGCGCAGTAAAACAATTACACTAAATAACCACTTTCAGCGTCTGTCAGCCAGCTAGATCACTCCACTAGTGATCAAGCCAATAGGCTTTATTTACAGCTTTAACCGTTCAAAATATTAAAAAAAAAACACTTGAATATACAAACCAGAAGTGGCTGTTTCAACTTAGTTCTTAGCTCTGGCTCCATGGTGTTTTGCCATTGACGAATAGTTGCTGCTTCACACCTATCAATCAATCATGAAAACGATCAGAAACATTGTCAATAATTGAATAGATACAGGATATCTACCCTAAAGGCAGCCAATCTTCACAAGCAGCGGATCTAAAATCAACCTTAAACTTTTTTATCCAGAAACACCTATCGAGAAGATTTGGTACCGCTACGGCCACTCCCCTCGAGCCAACCTCGTCAACGTCATTCAGTCAAAGTAAAAAATAATCCAGCCGAACTTCAACATTGTTTCTCTTAAGAAGGAAGGGGAAATAGTTCTAATTGCCAATACTTTCAAAAGCTTTATATAAAACTAGACATGGTAACTTTTGTCCAAGATTTTACAGTGATCTCGATAACTAGGATGACGAGGGTAACTAAGATGCATAGAGTGACTAGGGTAATTTGGGTGACCAGAATGACTCATGTGACTAGCATAGCCTGGGTGACAAGAGTGACTAACGTGATAAGAAAAAACTTAAGCGACTCTCGTAACAAGGTTGACTTAGCAAACTAGGTTGACTAGGGTGACCTGGGTCAACAGGGTGACTGGGTGTTCAAGGTGGCTAAGGTGACAAAACAGGTTGGGGGTACAGGGATGACTTGAGTGGCAAGAGTTATTTGAATGACAAGGATGACTTGTGTGAGGTGACTAGGTTGACTTGGGTGAATAGAGTGAATATGGTGACTTGTGTAACTATGGTGACATGAATAATTTCGGTGTCAGGAATAAATGGCGGTATTTGGTTGACTTGGGCTGATAGGTTACTAGGATTACTAGAGTGACTAAGGTTACTTGGGAGACAAGGGTTACTTAGGTGACTAGGGTGACTTGGAAGACTATGGTGACTAGGGTAAATTGAGTGATTAGGGTAACTAGAGTGACAAGAGTGACTTGGGTGACTAGAGTGACTTGAGTGACTTGAGTGACTTGAGTGACTTGAGTGACTAGGGTGACTTGGGTGACTACGGTGACTTGGGTGACTAGGGTAACTTGGGTGGCTTGGGCGATTAGGGTGACTAGGGGCTGGCTTGGGCGACTAGGGTGACTTGGGTGACTGGGGTGAATTGAGTGACTAGGGTGACCTGCACGACTAGGGTGACTTGAGTGGCTTTGGTGAGTAGGGTGACTTGGGTGACTAGGGTGACCTGAGTGAGCAGGGTTACTAGGGTGACTTGCATGACTACCCGAGTAACAGATGGGCAGAGGGCATAGAGGAATAATTTGTAACCCACGTTGCAGTTGATAGGGCGACTTGCCTATAAGGACATTTTGTTGTATTTTATGTAAGCTACAGGTATTCGCAGAATACCGTAAAATTCCGAAAATAAGCCCCTCCAAATATAAGTCCCCTACACTCGTAACGTAAAAAACCCTCCGTTAAATCGCCCTCAAATATAAGCCTCCCCAGGGGCTTTTACTTGAAAATTGCCCTCAAATACAGAGTAAAACAGAGCAAAAACGGTAAATTTCCTTCCAACTACAAGACTAGCCTAATCGATTTTGAAAACGCAAATAATTTTCCCACCATAGATAAGCCCCTCCGAATGTAAGCCCCTCAAAAAGGGCCTTTGAAAACTATAAGCCTCCGGCCTTATTTTCGGAATTTTACGGTAGCCCCAATGCCGTATTACTTCCTGTAAGCAGGTCTTGGCGTTACCGAAATGTAACTCAATGACAGGATGATTGAAATAACTATTACGATGAAACTTTACCAGGTTGGTAAGATGATCGCATGATGGTTTGATCAGTCAAGTTCATATTTGATTCTACAGTAAATAAAGGCGATTTTCGCTATCAACTGAAAAATTCAACTGCAAGCAAGGTCACAAATAACTCCTCTGCGCCCTGTGAAAGTGGCGTTGAGCTGCACAATTACATGAAATTTTTTTCTAGAATAGTCACTTAGGGTACAGATTGGCTAAAAGGTGATTGTAATATTATTATAACTACTTAACGTTTTCGTCAGACAAGCTAAGTCATGAACCTTGAATTCATCAAAAAGAGTTTACTTGGCAGCAAAAACTCTTGGTGAGGAAAACAAAGAGAACTTACATTTTTGTACAAGATTTAACTAGCCTGTGAGCAGGTAATACCATCTGAGAGCCTAGCACAAGATACATGAACTCGCACAAGTAAGCTTGCTCACAGACTATGATTTAACAGACAAAACGATCTCACAACACACCAAAAGACTGTCACGTCCTTACTTTTCAATGTCTTTGATAAGGTCTGAGTAGGTATCTCTGAGACGCCATCCATCATCCCCTTTAAGAGACGCTGGAGACACACGGTGAAGCTGTGACATGGGCTCCTGTGGGAAAAAGATGGAACATAATGAATGAATGAATGAATGAATGAATGAATGAATGAATGAATGAATGAATGGAATGAATGGAATGAATGGAATGAATGAATGAATGGAATGAATGAATGAATGGAATGAATGAATGAATGGAATGAATGGAATGAATGAATGAATGAATGAATGGAATGAATGGAATGAATGGAATGAATGAATGAATGAATGAATGAATGAATGAATGAATGAATGAATGAATGAATGAATGAATGAATGAATGAATGAATGAATGAATGAATGAATGAATNGGAAGGGGCGGGGGGGTACTCAGGATTTCAGTCGACAAGGATGATCAAAAGGTTTTTTGGGGTTTGAAATTTTCGATTCCGCGTTTTTCTTTGGGTAGGAAATTTTGGCAAGTATTTTTTTGATGGCTTGACTTAAGTAGGGATTTGTGGGGGTATTCAAAACCATCTGAAGATTCGTGTAAGTGCGCGCGTATCGCGGCGGCATAGATCTGCGAATAAAGTACGACCAAACTTGCTTTTGAAAACTTCATTTTTCGTGTCATATCATTGAATGCTTTCTGGAAATTTGAAGGCTCGGAAATTCAGCATGGGATTTTTTGGGGGTTAATTTTTGGTCTAGGGATGTTTCTTGGTTTTGTTGGAAGTCCAAGGGATTCTTCTGGGTTTTGATTTTTGCCCCCATTTGTTCGTCCCCGTCACTTGAAATCTGGAGTACTCCCCCAGAAAGTTGCCTCAGCGATTTGTAATTTGTAATGCTATTTGGATCTGCTCGATCGTCCAAAGAGGTAAATGATATGTACCTTGATATTACTTGGAAACTACTAGTCAGTATCACTTGAAAAACCATGATTCAGCATTTTCCCTTTGATTTCTCTGCATTGACTTACTGAAAAAATTAGTCGATTCTTTTCATGATTGTAGGCTAGTATTGTTTATGTTCTCTGTAGTCTAATTGTTAGTCTTGCCTTTTCTACACGTCGTTTTCGTAACAATTAATTCGTTCGTGCGGTGTTTGAGTTGCTGGACAACATAGAGTAATGCGAGAAACGCATTACTATTTTGAATGAAAGGGGTTATCTTACTGAAACATAAGGTGACTCGCCAGTTGACGACAAGGCTCCTTATGTATTCGCCAGTGCAATATCGAGCCGTGTTCTGTCTAAGCCGTTAACGTCTTTCAGTTTTCAGTAGACACGCAGTGGCGGATCCAGAGGAGGGTTCCCCTTATTTTTAGACCAAACTGAGGCCCAAAGGGCCGAGAAATACTCTTTTTGAATCCGCCCCCCCTCTTTTCTCAGGGTCTGGATGACCAGCTCCCCCCCCCCCATTATCTGAAGGTCTGGCTCCGCCACTGCCATGTATTAAAATGCATTAGTTTGAACAATTAGTTTTTTAGTGTAAATTACAGATTCCAGTGGCATTGTTCACGCCTGAGAGATTTTGATTTGAGGCAGTTTGTTTTGTTTTGTTTTTCCTTGTTTTTTTATTATTTTTTTACTTTTGTCTTTAATGAGTGTGGTTTGTGTGTCTCGTGTGGCGATCTGTGGTCTACGTATAGTGGGGGTGGGGGATATGTTCATCAAGACCCTGAGAAAATGGGGGGGGCGGATTCAAAAAGAGTATTTCTCGGCCCTTTGGGCCTCAGTTTGGTCTAAAAATAAGGGGAACCCTCCTCTGGATCCGCCACTGCGTGTCTACTGAAAACTGAAAGACGTTAACGGCTTAGACAGAACACGGCTCGATATTGCACTGGCGAATACATAAGGAGCCTTGTCGTCAACTGGCGAGTCACCTTATGTTTCAGTAAGATAACCCCTTTCATTCAAAATAGTAATGCGTTTCTCGCATTACTCTATGTTGTCCAGCAACTCAAACACCGCACGAACGAATTAATTGTTACGAAAACGACGTGTAGAAAAGGCAAGACTAACAATTAGACTACAGAGAACATAAACAATACTAGCCTACAATCATGAAAAGAATCGACTAATTTTTTCAGTAAGTCAATGCAGAGAAATCAAAGGGAAAATGCTGAATCATGGTTTTTCAAGTGATACTGACTAGTAGTTTCCAAGTAATATCAAGGTACATATCATTTACCTCTTTGGACGATCGAGCAGATCCAAATAGCATTACAAATTACAAATCGCTGAGGCAACTTTCTGGGGGAGTACTCCAGATTTCAAGTGACGGGGACGAACAAATGGGGGCAAAAATCAAAACCCAGAAGAATCCCTTGGACTTCCAACAAAACCAAGAAACATCCCTAGACCAAAAATTAACCCCCAAAAAATCCCATGCTGAATTTCCGAGCCTTCAAATTTCCAGAAAGCATTCAATGATATGACACGAAAAATGAAGTTTTCAAAAGCAAGTTTGGTCGTACTTTATTCGCAGATCTATGCCGCCGCGATACGCGCGCACTTACACGAATCTTCAGATGGTTTTGAATACCCCCACAAATCCCTACTTAAGTCAAGCCATCAAAAAAATACTTGCCAAAATTTCCTACCCAAAGAAAAACGCGGAATCGAAAATTTCAAACCCCAAAAAACCTTTTGATCATCCTTGTCGACTGAAATCCTGAGTACCCCCCCGCCCCTTCCCCCGCTCCTGGGCCGTATATATGTCAAAGCCAAGAGACGGCAAGAGAGCGTCCAGGATTAAGGGTATTTTGAATGAAGATGTTGGGGCATTAACAGACGCTGCAGAAAACCACAAAAGAAAGAAGCAGAAAACACAGAACACAGAAAGATTCTAACAGGTATTTTATTTTTCTCGAAAAATTCGAAGGCTTAACCCTCGAGAAATTATTATCACTCGCAATGAGTTGATTGCACATACTACGAATGTCTCGCTTTAGTGAACACATTTTAAAACTACGTGACTACCCTGGAAAATTATGCAAAACCAGGCTTACAATACCTGATGATTAATAGCCCACGTTCGATATTTAAAATTTTTAACATGACTCCAAGGCTTTAGGGTCAAAATTGCAAATTTTCCACGACTCCATTTTCTCACAATTGAGAGAGAGAGAATTGAGCACAAAGACCAAACCAAATAAAGAAAAAAGGACCAGAAAGCCTCGGAGTCATGTTAGAATTTTAATATATCGAGTGAGGGCTATTGTGTAACATTTACCTGGATGTGTAGTTTGAACCCCCGTAACCATAGCAACTTGTTGGCGACTGGTGGAAGATGAGGGTATGACGGAGGAGAATCCATGTGAGACTCAAAAAACCGTCGCATTTCCAGCAGCTCTTGAGTAAATCCATGCACCAGGCTGGTAAATATGTCCCGTAAATTGGCCTGAGGAAAATATAGGAGGAACACAATCATACAGTATGAATATAGCCATACTGGTGTGACTGTTACTGGAAACATAGTTATTAGAGGAGACTGGTTATGAAAAGCGGCAAACATCAATGATAAAAACAACAGTGCTGCAGTTTATGTTGGAACCACCCTGAAAGTGCACAATCCTTTGTTTTCTGTTGGCAAATTGTTACGGAATAAATTAATGCAACGTTTTTATTGGTCAATACAATCAAAATGATAGGAATTCTTTTGAACGTTGTGCACTTTCAGGTCCACNTGTTACGGAATAAATTAATGCAACGTTTTTATTGGTCAATACAATCAAAATGATAGGAATTCTTTTGAACGTTGTGCACTTTCAGGTCCACAAAAACATATAACAAAGGAGTCTGACGGGTTTCATAACCATTCCACTCAATTAACTATGCTGGAAATCATCTCATCCAAGCTAATGTAATCCAACCCTTTTGATTATGTAAGTACCCAAGCACCCTTGAAGGCTGCAATAGGCCATTTGCATGATGACATCATTTTACTACTACGACCAGAATCCTTCAGGGATTTGCTTTCTTGTGCAAAATAGACCTTTTGTTATTTAGACCTCGCTGGGATTACCAAATTTGAATATGAAAGGAAAAACGAAAAGGCTTCTGGTCGTAGTAGTAAAATGACGCCATCGTGCAATGGCCTATACTCGTCACAGTTCGTTGAAACCTGTATGCTACAAACGTCACGTAAATATCGTGCAATGTGCTCCCTTAATTTTTTTAAACTCAAATTTGCTTTTCTCCTTCCCCAATGAGACAGAGGTATTTTGGAACAGTGTGATGGTTGCAAATCACCATCATGGAGGGAAACGGCATAAGTGTTCAAGAAATTTGATGAGTACTGTACGTGGTATATTTAGTTGAAAACTAACAAAGCTTTAATCTTTTTAAGTTTCGGTCGTCATATAATATTTCCACAGCCATGCTCCGTGCTAAATGCTTTTAATGCACCCAAGCAAAAGACCATGATTTAGTGGCCATTGTGCCGAGGTTACTGGAAATTTGTGACAGGATTTTCCAGGTCAGCATGAGTAAAATGTCGATTATTGAATGAACAAAAAGTTTATTGTGTGGGTAGCTGACCGGGACATAATATCGTGCGCGTAGCTGACGCATAGACGGGACTGATTTGCTGTTTCGGAGATGATACAGATAGACAGACAGGAGGATTTAAAAGGTTTAGGAAATAACGTCCTGAGCTCGGTTATAGCCAAATTTTTCAGCAAAAACTCTCTTGTTTAGGAAAATGTTACTGCAGCTTACAATTATTGTCCAGCCGTAATACTAGGATTAGCACCAATCGGCCTTTTAGAAAAATTGCCCTAGAAAAGACGGTTTTTGTTAATGTTCAATGCACAAAAGTTCTCGTCTCACCTGAACAAGTTCTCGGCCACTGATTCCCTCAAATACTTCCAACAACCTGAGTTTGGCCCTTGTGTCCCAACACTGTTTAAAGCTTTGTCTCAATACATCAGCAAGATTGTGTTCTAAATCCTAATCGGAAACAAATAAAACATCGAACAAAAAAACAGTCAGTCTTGCAATACAAGAACCAACTCATTGTTATGTTAAGTGAAGATCACAAGAACTTGGTACAGCTGGAACAACTCTTAGGACTCTACCCGTAATAACAATTTTTGGATTCACTTCCGGTTCACTCATTGATTTCCCCATTCCCAACCCCCCAGTCTTGCTCGAAATTCAACATTGTTTTGAGTGGGAGGGGGGAGGTGGTCAGTTGTACTAACGCTCAGAAGTTTTACCATCTCCCCATGAGCAGAGTGATACTTAAGCAAATCCAACATGGTGTTTCAGTTGAGTTACCATGCATCCATGGAATCACGCTTTTGCCACACAAACATTTCAACGCTTAAGGTGTTTACACCGCGCTGGTCAAATTTGCAGCACAAAAGTTTACACGGTCATGGTGTTTACATTGCACCGCTCAAATTTTCGTCCTTAGTGGCTAAAAATTTGACCTCGAATTTTTTTAACGGCTAGGCGTTCAAATTTTTTTACGGTTGGCTTGGTTCGGTGTGAATGAAACACCTAAACGCACGAAGAGTGGATAAAAGAGTCATTCTACTTACCCTTATCACAGAACGGAAAGCGAAGAACTCTCTTTCAAATTCCTGTGTCTCACTTGCATTTAGCACATCCTAGAAAATAAATCATGGATTATTATAATTATATTACCAGTATTCCCGAGCCTAGCCTCCTGGCCCTGGTTGTTCAAACGTTGGATAGCACTATCCAGTGGGTAAGTGATCACAGAAACCAACTGCGTTATCCACTGGACAAAGATTTATCCAGTGGATAGCGTTATCCAGCTTTTGAACAACTGGGGCCTGGAGTTACCCAGCAGGCGGTTGAAGTATGGCTTATGTTAATTTGTTTGTAAGGAAGCAGACTGGAAGAGGAGGACGGCTTTCTAACGATTCTTCTCGTGGACTTATTTCAAAAAGGAGCATGGGCTTAATAGAGGAGTTATGAGTTGTCATCACTAGAGTTAAAGGAGATAGGGAAGTAGACATTCCTTTGGTTTTTTTTTTTGCTTTAAGGATTGTGTTATTGTTTTGCAATAATACTTCAAGCTTGTACCGATAATATCAGGATTCCATGCTCAATTTTTTTAGTTCATAAAAAGGATTGCACTGCCTTTGCTTAAAAGTCTGTTCTATCAGCTATCGATGTAGTCTTACGTTTGGCATCTGCTGAAAAGACCTAACAGCCTCCAAGAATTTGGCATGTATCTCTTTGACTTGACTGTCCAAGCTGTTGCCGCCGGCCCCGCCCACCTCAGCGGCACAAGTTAACATCTCAAAATGCTGTGTTGTCTGAACAAGCTCTAGCACGTCGTTACACCGCTCCATGAAGCTGTTCAGTGATGTAAAGCACACGTTGTTTCTTGCAGGCCAAGGTGAGTCTGTCCACAGTTCTGTTGTGTCAAAACCACTTGTACTCTCAGTGCTAGTACTACTACGTCTGTGAAATATCTTGGTGGTTTTGGGTGTTAGGCTGTCATTGTAGAGCTTGCTGTGCCACACTATTCCTCCACTGTCCATACTAAAAAAACGCAATAGCAAAGGACATTTATGTTTGACATATATTTCGAAACACACATGCAGTAGTGACTGGAAAGACATATCCCAATTTTGGTCATCACGTATTTGAATTGATATTGATGGGGCCAACTGGTGAAAGCATTCACTATGAGCATTATTATTAAAAATGACATTGCACTATAAACGGGGGCATCCTAAAACCTCCATGGATTTTTGAGGATGATGATGAGGATGGTGGAGAAAATGCAGATGATTACATGGAAATAGCCTTACAACCTTTATATAGACAATATCTACTCTGATATTGCAGAGTAGAGTTTTTCATTTCTTCACACTCAACATAACACAATTCACGTTAATATTTATTCTTCCAGAGGCAACTGTAATAATGTACCAATTATGGAAGGAAATTGTAAACAACTTCTCCACGCAAAGGAAGGACCACATGAATGAGCAAAGAGCAGTGAGGTTTCATTTTTCATGAAATACACCTCTTTTAGGGCTGTAAGTAGTAGATACGTGAGAAACAAACTTACTTAGTTCCAGTTTGTTCTGACAGTCTTCGTTGATTTGTTTCATCAGCTCTGTCCTTCTTATCCAGGTAACAACCACGGAAAGCAGCACATACACGCAAAGCATCTTTCAAGCTGGTATAAGACTAAAACAAGACATATTAGACAGGTTAGCACTCATCTCCATACTCCAAACGAACATTTCCCTCTCAGTGGCTCTCACAAGACATTTCGAATTCCCTTTTCCTACATGACATTTCTATGTCTCTTAAAATGTCATGGAAGTCTAAGTCTCTTCAATTTATAAGGAAAAAGAAATTCCGAAGAGCAAAAGTAAGAATCGAACCGGGAGAGTAATGTCCACAGTCCATCTCCTATACCACAACGAGACTGTCAGGATTTGCTGACGACCATTGGTTTGATTTGAAGCTATATAGCAACAACCCTAACCCTAATTAGAAGTCAACTGTTTTACGAGTCAGTGCTTAACCCTAACCACCATTCTCAGGGTTTAACCCTAATCAGTATTGAGCAGCCTAATCATTATTCTCGGGGGTTAACCCAATGCGGTTCCTTCCTTTGCAGAAAATCACTTTGTGTATGAATCATTATGTGTCACTGTCATTTTGGAGTATAAAGATTAGTACAAGTGTATAAACCTATCAAAGATCAGTGGCTGGGACATATCTGAAGCAGGTTATACTACTGACTCAGCCCTGCCAGAAAAGCCTCTCTTTCGCTCGCTCAATTCTGGTGTACTCGAGAAAGACTCTGCATGAATCAAGGAAGTTTCTTGTTGAGCATGCACTTCATGTTGCTAAGATATAGTTTCGAATTTAGGCTTAAGAACCATACACTTGGTACAGAGGGCTCAGTTATGATCATCGGTTTATCAAAAAAGGATGCTAATACTAAACAAAACCAGTTTGACAAGAGATAACAAGATTGACTAGTCCAGAATTTTGGGCTGCGGTGACTTCAAAGGCTTGACGCCATTCAGAGCCTCCTTTTCTTGTCCTCCCTCAAGAAGACAAAAAGAGGCTCTGTTCGCAGGGTGGAAGGACTCAGTCAAAGCACGTTGATAAGACTGCTTTTACTTACTGCCAATAAATTCTCCAGTACATGCTCTCCTACCAGCCTCCTTCCTCGGGCAACAACTTCATTTGACAACATAGTTAACAACCTTGTAAAGTTTCTGTTGTCATGGTAATATCTGAAAATGTTATTTCAAAGGAAAAACATCAGTGTATTAGTATTAGTATTCATTTTCTAGGAGAACTGCATACGTATCAAGAACACATTTCCGTGGTGGTACAACTGAAAAACTGAAAGTGTGTCAGCTATAAATATGATTGAACCTCTAGTAAGCGACCAACCAAAATGCTAAGATTTAGTGGTTGCTTAAGGGAGGTGGTCGCCTACAAAAACAAAACCGCAGATGTTTCTCCGAGAAGAGGACCAGAGACTACAAACAATGGAAATCTATAGAATGTTCAGACCTTGGTGTCTTTGATCGGTGGTCATTTATATAAGGAAACTGGCTGTTTAAAAGAGGTGGTCATACGTGGAGGTTCGACTGTATATGCCTTGAGATATACATTTTAGCCACTTTGAAGCTGGTTCTAACTTTTGGTAGTCTCCTTCGCAGCCACTTGGGACGGGGTCACGTGACTCCGACCCGAGCAGTTGCAAAGGAGACTAACATTTGAGTCTGTGGAAGAAATCTCAAATGAAACCTCTTCAGCAGTACTTTTGTATGGTGTTATCTAGTAATATTTAGTAAGTAGTTTCAACTTTTGAGTTGATGAAGTCCTAAGCTGTGAAACCCTACTGGGCAGGGTTACTGCACAGTACTTTCCTGTGGTGCTGTTTATATTAACCTCTACAAGGAAGTTATGTATTTTGAGGAGCAAAATCCTAAAAATTAATGTGTGATCATTCAAATGAAAGCTGCTGCATGAGCAGATATTCTGGCGGCAATGCTCATTATCCCAGTGAACGAAATGATCATACCTTTTATAAGTACATGAATGGACATTTAAGTTGAGACTATTCAGTTGGAAACTGCTTAAACTTATACATGCATGCATGACTAAGTTTGTTCTTCCATCAATAAAACTGTAGCCTGAGAAAACAGCCAACATTGTGCAATGCTGCCACTGGTTTTCCCACAAAATGACATCTTCAGAATGGCCTTAGACTTGTTCCAAGTCGACCTCTCAGAAAAAAGTGAACAAAGCAAGCTTTAGTGACATGAGGTCGCACAGCGACCAAGTGAGCAATGAAGTCTTGAGGTCAACTTGTTTTGCCTGAATGGATTTGAATCCTATTATAAATTCATGCATATTATGCTGTGTCGGGAGCGGCATGAAATATCACTCACTGTCCTATTGATCAATGGTCATGACATCGGTAGAATTCTCAACAGGTGAATTATGTGCCAAACAGGTATGAAAAGTCCTTTAAAATGGCACTTATTATTTATTAACCAGGAAAACAAAATAAAGGACTTTTCGAAAGTCTAGAATGGCCACAGAAACTCCAAACAGATGGCACTTCACTTCCCAGCTAAGGGTAGTGCTTCTGATTAGTTAAAAATTTGCCTCATCCAATCAGACGCAGTACCCAGATCTGGGTCAACAGTATTGAGTTTCTTTTGTCATTCCTCATACGTCATTTCATGGGAAACCAGTGGTGGAATAGCAAAATGTCAGCTATTTTCTCAGGCTAATAAAACTGCAAATTGAATTTTTTATTTTGATTTGCATGGTCGCAATAATAGTCACCCTTAGAAGTCATATGACTGCATGACCTTGACACCAACCTTGAATAGACCCACACAAGGTACATAGAGTGCATCAAGGGAGGAAACACAACCACCATCTCTGCAGACTTTGTCGCATAATGGAGTTTCTCAAACCAAGGAAGAAGAGTGCTCAGGAACTGCAGATTGTCATTTGTCTCTGATTCCGCCTTAAGCACCAGATGCATCAAAATATTATTGTCAGTAAAGATAACCAGGAAGTACTACATATTAACCATTCAAACACTAAAATCAGTAATAAAAGCCTCATTTGTTGTCCTTAGGTTTCCAAAAGAAGTAATGGGGAGAATTAGCTGAGTTATCAATATTAGATCGACTGTTCCGTGATCATGTCCTTAATTTTTATGACAAGTCTGTGTTATAAGGCATTGGTGTTACAAGGAGAAATTTTGTGCCATCACTCTTAGGGCTTAGTGGGTTTAGGACTGCAAATTATGATTTTAATTTCTCTGAAAACGCACAGTTCGAACTTCATAGCTAAAACAGCTGTCGAGTTTTGCCACCCTTAACTAAAGAATCTCCAAAATAACCCCACAGAGTAGCTGGCAAAACACAACCAGAAAGTGGCAACTTTTGCCGGCTGCCAGCTATATTAAAATCACTGGAAATAACAACAAAAACAGCAACAATAATGATGACGATGATGATGATGCTACAATGATTTCAGCATATTTTCAAGTGACTATCAGAGTAAATAGCATTGATTTTTTTCATTTTGTCAAGTTCTAACCTTGGCAATTTCTCTTTTAACAAGGTGGAATGACTGCGCATATGTACTATGAGCATCCTCCAGGTTCATCAAGATGTTGAGGGCCACCTGTGAACACAGCTGCTCACTAACTGAAGTGATCTTCTCCAGTCTCTCGGACCACATCTGATTTGCAAAAACAACATCATTATCTCACCAAATTTTAACTACATGTACAAGGAAAATTTTGAACTTTTTAATGAATTATCAAGAAAAGTTATTACTATTACCTCTATTTCATCTAATGGACCAGGCCTTGGACCATATTTTTTTATCTCAGTTTCTGGATCTAGCTTAAGTGTTATCTGCAAACCAAGATAATGCATCATTCAGAATGCAAAGAGAATAACAACTCAATGACAATAGTTATTCTTCTTTCAGCAAGCAGTACAGCAAAAAAAGTTAAATATTACATGTATTCCATAATTTGATATGAATAAATTCCCCTTCCATTTTCACAAATCAACAGGCCCCCTTAAATTTCACCTATAATATCACCAGTTCAAAGGCAATGCGCCCATGAAAAAATTACAAAAAACAAAATTATGTGCTAAAATAATTTGAGTCTTTTTCAAACTTTTTGGTGGTTATGCCAGCTTGTTCATAGCCTCTGAACAAGCTCCCTAGTGGGTCTAGGATGAAGAAAAAGCTTAACAGTGCAAGAAAATGGGGCTAAGTTCTCTGGTGTTGTGGATACACTGCCCATGAAGGTGCATTCATCAAACGACATATTACAAAAGACTGAAACACTGGACAGTAATCACGCCACAAAACAAAAGCAAACCAACAATAGTTCCCACAACACCAGGAAACATCTCGAAATAGGGAGGGTAGAGGGGTGTCTCTCATTTCATTACCTAGCCATTCATGTTCTCTATGTATTATTAATTTATTATTGCAACCACCTTGATCTGCTTAATCCAGTTCACCACAGCTGTTTCCAGCACATGAATAACAGCCGGTCTCCTGCTGCTATAGGCTGCAGCCTCAGATAGCACCTCAATAGATGGCAGAGGTAGTGTGACCTGACCCTTCGCTCCTCCTTCAGCGACCTGCATAAGTGAAACAAGCCTGTGCACCAAGTCCATCAATTTGTCGGCGCTGACACCGCCACCCATTTCAATACTCAACAGCGGCAAAAATACATCCTTTGTTAAAGTGCTGGCATGAGATAAAGGCTGATAGGAGCTGTCGCAAAAGGCAACATCAGTAACAATGTTGTCCCTGGAGAGTTTTCCAGCATTGTGAATCTTGACAAAGTAAACAGACTTTTCTTGGACACTATTGGGTGGATGGAGTGATGCCACAAGATTTTTGCCACCAGATGAAAAAACCAGTTTGACAAGAGATAACAAGATTGACTAGTCCAGAATTTTGGGCTGCGGTGACTTCAAAGGCTTGACGCCATTCAGAGCCTCCTTTTCTTGTCCTCCCTCAAGAAGACAAAAAGAGGCTCTGTTCGCAGGGTGGAAGGACTCAGTCAAAGCACGTTGATAAGACTGCTTTTACTTACTGCCAATAAATTCTCCAGTACATGCTCTCCTACCAGCCTCCTTCCTCGGGCAACAACTTCATTTGACAACATAGTTAACAACCTTGTAAAGTTTCTGTTGTCATGGTAATATCTGAAAATGTTATTTCAAAGGAAAAACATCAGTGTATTAGTATTAGTATTCATTTTCTAGGAGAACTGCATACGTATCAAGAACACATTTCCGTGGTGGTACAACTGAAAAACTGAAAGTGTGTCAGCTATAAATATGATTGAACCTCTAGTAAGCGACCAACCAAAATGCTAAGATTTAGTGGTTGCTTAAGGGAGGTGGTCGCCTACAAAAACAAAACCGCAGATGTTTCTCCGAGAAGAGGACCAGAGACTACAAACAATGGAAATCTATAGAATGTTCAGACCTTGGTGTCTTTGATCGGTGGTCATTTATATAAGGAAACTGGCTGTTTAAAAGAGGTGGTCATACGTGGAGGTTCGACTGTATATGCCTTGAGATATACATTTTAGCCACTTTGAAGCTGGTTCTAACTTTTGGTAGTCTCCTTCGCAGCCACTTGGGACGGGGTCACGTGACTCCGACCCGAGCAGTTGCAAAGGAGACTAACATTTGAGTCTGTGGAAGAAATCTCAAATGAAACCTCTTCAGCAGTACTTTTGTATGGTGTTATCTAGTAATATTTAGTAAGTAGTTTCAACTTTTGAGTTGATGAAGTCCTAAGCTGTGAAACCCTACTGGGCAGGGTTACTGCACAGTACTTTCCTGTGGTGCTGTTTATATTAACCTCTACAAGGAAGTTATGTATTTTGAGGAGCAAAATCCTAAAAATTAATGTGTGATCATTCAAATGAAAGCTGCTGCATGAGCAGATATTCTGGCGGCAATGCTCATTATCCCAGTGAACGAAATGATCATACCTTTTATAAGTACATGAATGGACATTTAAGTTGAGACTATTCAGTTGGAAACTGCTTAAACTTATACATGCATGCATGACTAAGTTTGTTCTTCCATCAATAAAACTGTAGCCTGAGAAAACAGCCAACATTGTGCAATGCTGCCACTGGTTTTCCCACAAAATGACATCTTCAGAATGGCCTTAGACTTGTTCCAAGTCGACCTCTCAGAAAAAAGTGAACAAAGCAAGCTTTAGTGACATGAGGTCGCACAGCGACCAAGTGAGCAATGAAGTCTTGAGGTCAACTTGTTTTGCCTGAATGGATTTGAATCCTATTATAAATTCATGCATATTATGCTGTGTCGGGAGCGGCATGAAATATCACTCACTGTCCTATTGATCAATGGTCATGACATCGGTAGAATTCTCAACAGGTGAATTATGTGCCAAACAGGTATGAAAAGTCCTTTAAAATGGCACTTATTATTTATTAACCAGGAAAACAAAATAAAGGACTTTTCGAAAGTCTAGAATGGCCACAGAAACTCCAAACAGATGGCACTTCACTTCCCAGCTAAGGGTAGTGCTTCTGATTAGTTAAAAATTTGCCTCATCCAATCAGACGCAGTACCCAGATCTGGGTCAACAGTATTGAGTTTCTTTTGTCATTCCTCATACGTCATTTCATGGGAAACCAGTGGTGGAATAGCAAAATGTCAGCTATTTTCTCAGGCTAATAAAACTGCAAATTGAATTTTTTATTTTGATTTGCATGGTCGCAATAATAGTCACCCTTAGAAGTCATATGACTGCATGACCTTGACACCAACCTTGAATAGACCCACACAAGGTACATAGAGTGCATCAAGGGAGGAAACACAACCACCATCTCTGCAGACTTTGTCGCATAATGGAGTTTCTCAAACCAAGGAAGAAGAGTGCTCAGGAACTGCAGATTGTCATTTGTCTCTGATTCCGCCTTAAGCACCAGATGCATCAAAATATTATTGTCAGTAAAGATAACCAGGAAGTACTACATATTAACCATTCAAACACTAAAATCAGTAATAAAAGCCTCATTTGTTGTCCTTAGGTTTCCAAAAGAAGTAATGGGGAGAATTAGCTGAGTTATCAATATTAGATCGACTGTTCCGTGATCATGTCCTTAATTTTTATGACAAGTCTGTGTTATAAGGCATTGGTGTTACAAGGAGAAATTTTGTGCCATCACTCTTAGGGCTTAGTGGGTTTAGGACTGCAAATTATGATTTTAATTTCTCTGAAAACGCACAGTTCGAACTTCATAGCTAAAACAGCTGTCGAGTTTTGCCACCCTTAACTAAAGAATCTCCAAAATAACCCCACAGAGTAGCTGGCAAAACACAACCAGAAAGTGGCAACTTTTGCCGGCTGCCAGCTATATTAAAATCACTGGAAATAACAACAAAAACAGCAACAATAATGATGACGATGATGATGATGCTACAATGATTTCAGCATATTTTCAAGTGACTATCAGAGTAAATAGCATTGATTTTTTTCATTTTGTCAAGTTCTAACCTTGGCAATTTCTCTTTTAACAAGGTGGAATGACTGCGCATATGTACTATGAGCATCCTCCAGGTTCATCAAGATGTTGAGGGCCACCTGTGAACACAGCTGCTCACTAACTGAAGTGATCTTCTCCAGTCTCTCGGACCACATCTGATTTGCAAAAACAACATCATTATCTCACCAAATTTTAACTACATGTACAAGGAAAATTTTGAACTTTTTAATGAATTATCAAGAAAAGTTATTACTATTACCTCTATTTCATCTAATGGACCAGGCCTTGGACCATATTTTTTTATCTCAGTTTCTGGATCTAGCTTAAGTGTTATCTGCAAACCAAGATAATGCATCATTCAGAATGCAAAGAGAATAACAACTCAATGACAATAGTTATTCTTCTTTCAGCAAGCAGTACAGCAAAAAAAGTTAAATATTACATGTATTCCATAATTTGATATGAATAAATTCCCCTTCCATTTTCACAAATCAACAGGCCCCCTTAAATTTCACCTATAATATCACCAGTTCAAAGGCAATGCGCCCATGAAAACATTACAAAAAACAAATGTGCTAAAACAATTTTGAGTCTGTTTCAAACTTTTTGGTGGTTATGCCAGCTTGTTCATAGCCTCTGAACAAGCTCCCTAGTGGGTCTAGGATGAAGAGAAAGCTAAACAGTGTAAGAAAATGGGGCTAAGTTCTCTGGTGTTGTGGATACACTGTCCATGAAGGTGCATTCATCAAACAACATATTACAAAAGACTGAAACACTGGACAATAATCACACCACAAAACAAAAGCAAACCAACAATAGTTCCCACAACACCAGGAAACACCCCGAAATAGGGAGGGTAGAGGGGTGTCTCTCATTTCATTGCCTAGCCATTCATGTTCTGTAAGTATTATTAATTTATTATTGCAACCACCTTGATCTGCTTAATCCAGTTCACCACAGCTGTTTCCAGCACATGAATAACAGCCGGTCTCCTGCTGCTATAGGCTGCAGCCTCAGATAGCACCTCAATAGATGGCAGAGGTAGTGTGACCTGACCCTTCACTCCTCCTTCAGCGACCTGCATAAGTGAAACAAGCCTGTGCACCAAGTCCATCAATTTGTCGGCGCTGACGCCGCCACCCATTTCAATACTCAACAGGGGTAAAAACACATCCTTTGTTAAAGTGCTGGCATGAGATAAAGGCTGATAGGAGCTGTCGCAAAAGGCAACATCAGTAACAATGTTGTCCCTGGAGAGTTTTCCAGCATTGTGAATCTTGACAAAGTAAACAGACTTTTCTTGGACACTATTGGGTGGATGGAGTGATGCCACAAGATTTTTGCCACCAGATGATGTGGAGAAGAAAATAAAGAGCTTCTTCACCTCTTCATTGTTGCAGAACTCAAACATAGCCTCCCTAGATAAAAAAAGATTAGTGATAGATCAATGATTAATTGACATGTACTGTCAAAACACAACTTCATCAGATCAATAATAATAATTTGTAAAATGTGTGTTTACTATTATCTAGGTAAAAAAAAAATGGAATTCATGATGAGTTTATAGTTAAGATAACAACACTGAGCAGGGACTGTCAATAAAAATTACTAAGATGCTTTTTGACACATACTATGTTTGCTAAATACCTTGCTTTTTTCTTTCAATTCTATGGATATGCTGACAACAACAACAGCTGTCAAATAAGGGCATCCACTGACCACCGTCACATGATTGTATCTCAGGCTCAGGTATACAAATCATTGAGGACGAGGTGACATATTTTTTAAAGTTATTCGTAGCCTGCAGAGCAGGCATTCTTTTTTAAAAATGTGACCCAGAGGTACATGGAGGAGGAGCTGAGGCAAGGGGGAGGGGCAGGGAGAAAAAGGAAAAAACACCTGCCAGCATAGGCTATGAAACTGCCAAATGCCTGGCCGCTTTATTAGTTGCGGCTGACTGCTTTTCCGGAAATGCATTTGGAGCCAATAAAAATCTAGAGATTGTTCCGGAAGCCACAAATTTACTTCAACAATAACGGAAATAAAGCGTTGACAGGTCAAACGGCCCATAAGCTCGTGATAGTGTCAAACATGAACAAAGAGTTCACTTGTTTTAGAATTAAAGGTTTTCCTTCTCTTTAGCAGGCAAATTATATAATGCATGGAGTGTTTTAAATTTTGACTGCGCCAATCTTATTTTTGCCACTAGTCTAACATTAAGAGGATCTGAGACTGGTCTGTTCCGTGCATATTGATGAAATTTTTTTTCCTGTAATTAATGTTTCGTGTAGGTGTTTTTACTTTTTGACAGCATTTTATCTTGATGCAGTTTAGCACCTATTTTCTTTTACCTTTCTTAAAGCCTCAAACTTTTTGTTGTGACTAAATACACTTAACCTTCAACTAAAAATTTTAGTTTCAATAGTTTTTTTTTTCCCCGATGCCTCAGGACTTGAATAACTACAGGCTTGTAGTGTAGCTTTATGGTCAGTGAAGGTGACAATTCCCTGCTTTGTTTTGCGCTACGCTAAGCTCTTTAGGGTTGTTTGCAAGATGTTGAATTCTCATGGATAGTGATCTACAGATCTGAATTGTAGCTTAAACTGAAGCTACAGCAACTTATAACTATGGAGAATTGCACTGCAAGTCGGCAGTCAAAATCATTCTTTAGGCACACAATCGACTGTTTTTCTTGAGATGAGTAAATCTTTTGACTGGAGTGTCATATCCCGTTGTTCTTCCGTTGGCTCTGTTGACTACATCTACTAGTGTTTTTGTTTACATCATAAAGCAAGACTGCAGTTTCGGACCTAAAGGTTTCAATTGCAGTCGTGGTCAACTCAGAAAGGCTTCTGACAACCGACCATACAAATAACTTTTCAGAAGTCAAACAAAGTTTATGCTTCAAGATTTCCTTGAGTCAAACCAAAAAAGGAAAGACGAGGCCAATAAATCTCATCTTGTCTAGAGTAATAACTGCTTGCTTTTGTTCAATCGATAAGCAATATGCATAACCCTAAGAACCGAAAAAGCTTCCTCCACCACAGAATGAAAATTTTCAAAATCTGCATGAATCAGGGTATTAAAAAATACACTGTGCAGAAGGCCAAGAAAGTAGATGATGCTGATTGGAAGCTAGCAATCGAACATCTGAAACCGGACCAATCAGAGCTCCCGTCTATCCAGAGTACAGTGTTTGGCAAACAAACAATGACTGAGTGCAAGGGTAATTTTTCCTCCCCTCCCCCTCTCCCTCCCCTATTTTCACGCATCATCCTCTGCCTTGGAATCATTTTTGACTCACCCCAACTCTCGGTCAGTTTATAAACGTCCAAATCAATTGCACTGCAACTTTACAGCAAAAGTTGAATTACTTGAGAAAGACATTTCTTAAAAGATCACTCAAAATCTTCACTTTTAGCCTTGGCTAAATTTATATATTACTCCTCTAGTCCTCACCTGCTTTTTTCATTGGTGAACAGATGCTTGAGTTCTTCTGCCCTGGGTTTTAGAGATGACGTCACGCGGATTTCAATCCATCTCAATCTCTCATCCAGTTCCATGACTATTACTTATGATGTGCTTATTTTAGAGCAACTTGTTTTCATTATTCTTTTCTAAAAAAGTAAGAATTAAAGGAATTGATCATCAAGTCCCTTATAATCAGAGCCTAGGAGACTTGTGCTGCTAAGACTCTAAGACCCTGGACCCGTTCAGACGAAAATAGATAAATTTGCCTCTTTGTTTCTGTGAATAATAATATTAATTATTATTATACACCCCTACCTGACAGTTGGAATCAGAGCAAACTAAAATGCATAGTGATGGATCAACTACCTTGGATGTAACAGTACATGTACTTTACCACAAGATTAATAATCTCTTTTCTGTCAAATGCAAACCGAGTTAAGCCTTTCACTCCTTACTTCCTAGGAGTGGCCAATGCAAAAATTTCTAAATTTCAATCCTTGGAGTGCTTTTCAGAAGTCAGAACTGGCCAGCTTAAACAGCCGTCAGTCAGTTGAAAATTGTCTCTCAGATGTTAGCCTGTTATACTCAGAAAACTCCATACAAACCCTTCTAATTTTTCTTTGGGTCAACCCCCAAAAAATTGAGAAGGGTTTGTATGGAGTTTTCTAAGCATAACTGGGCTACGATGTCAGAGACAATTTGCCCCAAAATGCTCATTTTTGGCAAGTAGGCCTCTTGGACATTGTTCTTTCAGAATATCCTGACAAATCCCATAATTTCAGAAATTTCATATTTATGATGTCACACTTTAGTACTCTATTGCGCAGTTCTTACATGATTTACTTCCTATACATCTATGACAGTGTTCTTTATATGTGAGAGGCTGTGCAGAACTTCGTGACATTTGCATTTTATAAGATTTAAGCCAATACGTGCTAAAAGATACATTGATGTAGTTCAGTTAGTACTTATAACAGACATCTGAAAAATTGTAAAAAGCTACCAAACTTTAACGCCTAAGCTATGACAACAAGAGGAAATATCTCTCAAAAACTCTTATAAGACTTATTGCATCTGAAACCGGCATAGTAAGTTTTTAATTGGCTGTGAAATGAACAAATAAAAACACGTTTAAGCCAATAAATTGCTTTGTGCAAAGCTCTTATCTTCGGTGTATATTTTTTTAGGAAACTTTTACAGCAGCAAATTCTCAGAAAAGAATGAAATGTTGGAGAAACTCATTTGTAATCAGAGAATTTTGGAATTCGCGCCCACTTGCGAAGATGTCACTGTGACTACAAAAGTCATTTTTCATCAACACTGCAATAATTATTTTCATCCTTTTAGGAGAAAGAACATACAACCTACCAACAGAAAACGTCCGAATTCACACGTAAAGCGCCAACTAAAATCATATCCGTTGAATCCTCGCAAAAGCAAGTAGATCTGTGCAAAACGTCCGCCATCTTTGTTTGACTTCGTTGCTATAAGTTATAATCACGTGACCATACAGTTTTGATCGATCAGAAATCGATCAAGTCGGGTTTCAACAACATGGCGGACGGCATCTCAGAAAATACACAGAAGTGTACGGCTGGAATCATAATCATTGGGGATGAAATCTTAAAAGGTCATATAAAAGACACGAATTCCCACTTTCTCTTGAAAAAGCTTTGGTCCTTGGGAATCAAAGTAGGGAAAGTTTCTGTCATTTCAGACGATGTAGATGAAATTGCCAACGAGGTGCGAACCTTTTCTTCTCTGTTTTCCTTTGTTATTACCACGGGAGGAATTGGTCCAACTCACGATGATGTCACTATGGCAGGCATAGCCAAAGCCTTAAAACAAGATCTGGTTGTGAACGAAGACTTATTGAAGTTAATTTCCGGTGAATTCGACGTTGATTCCCAACACAAGATCAAGCTCAACTCCTCTCACCACAAGATGGCTAGGGTGCCCAGCGCTTTGAAATTATGTTATGGAAAAGATCGCTGGGGAAAACCCAGCAAGTTTCCTCTTATTTCTGTGAATAACGTCTACGTTTTCCCAGGAGTTCCACAGTTTTTAGAACAGGAGTTTGGTGTTCTTGAAAACCATCTTTTGACTTCCAACCCAGAGAAGCGTTTTTTCCTGCGAAAGATCTACCTTTCAGCGGAAGAAACCTCCATTGCTTCTATTCTAAATGAGATAGATGAAAAATACAAAGGAAAAGTACACTTGGGGTCTTATCCCGATTTCTGCAATAAAGATTTCAAAGTGAAGTTGACTGTGGAGTCAGATAATTTAAGCCTTCTGCAAGAGGCATGGCACTGCCTTCTGGAGAGGTTACCTAAAAGCATTGTAGTCAAGACAGAAGGAAATGATTATGATGTTGCAGTTCCAGATGGTAAGGACGTTTTAATATACACACAGGGCTGTCAACCCCCCACGTCTTTAAATGGAGAATTGATAGGGAAGGGATGATAGATGATGTCATAATGCATGGCATATGGCCCTTTCTCACGTGGGGTGATTTTCACACATGCTCATGTTTTGCTCGCTCTACTATCCCTGAGGAAAAATGGGGACTACTCATAGTCTACACATCCAGTGGCAGATTTAAGGGAGGGACCCAGGGATGCATTTCGCAAATGTCACAATAATTAAAGGCCCAGAAAGCTGTTTGGTAACATTCAAGGTTTCAATACTTTTGCTGAGATAACATGACACAACTGTCGTTAAATAAAACAAAATGAACTGATTTGTTAGCTATTATAGGACCCGTGATATTTCCATGTCAGGCCCAGAAAGTTACTGGGACTCAACCTCGTTCCCAGGTTCTCCCTCCTACCCAACTTTCAAGAAGTGGACCCCAGGGGTCTTGGGAATCCATGTTATTTTTATGCTGAACTGAAGCTCACAGTGCTAAGAAAAATTATTTTTGAGGCCGGGACCCCTTCTCATTTTGGTGGCTGGATTGCCCCCTACTTACCTTAAGATCTGAATTTAACATTGAAATCATGTTCTCTGATAGGATGCAATCTTTAAATAGGTGTAAGATACTGGTATTAAAATATTGTTTAATTTTCTTGTAGCTGCATTGAGTCAACCAGAGGATTGTAAACTGTTAGAAAATGTTGAAAGAGTCTACAACTTGCTAGATCCATTGAATGATTCCAACACTAGTGCCTGTGTCAAAGGAGCTTGGGCTATAATACAGCAAACCTTACAGCTTTACTCCATGGATGAGCTTTGTATCAGCTTTAATGGTGGCAAAGACTGTACAGTTCTGTTACTCGTTCTACAAGCTGCACTGAATAAACTTGCCTCACCAGATCAACAGCTCAGAGCTCTTTACATTCGCTATGACTCGCCATTTCAACAAGCGGAAGAATTTATCTCGGAAACTACTGAGAGGTACAATTTGAATCTAATTACTATGAATGGGAACATTAAGGATGCTCTGAAAACATTGAAAGAAACTCAACCCTCAATCAAAGCAATTCTGTTGGGCACAAGAAGACATGATCCCTTTTCTGAGGCACTTCGTACATTTTCTCCAACTGATCCAGACTGGCCTCACTACATGAGAGTGAATCCAATTCTGGACTGGCATCATGCCGATGTTTGGTCTTTTATCAGGGAATGTGATGTCCCTTACTGTAGCCTCTATGACAAGGGGTATACATCATTGGGTAGCAGCCATAATACTAATCCCAATCCAGCATTGAAATATGAAGATGGCAGCAACAGATACAAGCCTGCATACATGTTGGAAGATGGTCATCTGGAAAGGGCTGGTAGGGAATAACATTGGTGCTACAAAATATTAGTACATGTATTATTGGCAAAGAAGTTCAGAGGGGGTGAAACAAGAATATTTGTTTTGCAGCTGATATTACATGTATGGCGTAAATTTGGGGCATTGTCTCCATTGTAACACTGAGGGAAGCACCAGTATTCCCAAAATCTTGTAGATGTAGACCCCCAAGTAATTTAATACAGGACATTTAACCTTTAAATGATAATTTATTACTCCAAGTCAAAATACAGCTTTAATTAAACATCTGGCCCGTTGCAGTTGTTCAAAAGCTGGATAGCCCTATCCATCGGATAAATCACTATCCAGTGGATAAGTATTTACCCTCAGCAGTTTTTACAGCACTTATAAAAGTGTGGCTGAGCAAATGACTGAAAACAAATAATTCAAATATAATCAAACATAACAGGGTTTAGAATCCAACTGCACTAGCGATTTATGCGGTGGATAGCGCTATCCCCCTTTTGAACAACTGAGGCCAGAAGCAAACCAGAATACCAAACAATTAATAGCACTGGCACTGTCGCTGTTGGTTTCCTCTTATCATAAACATACTGTTACATTATTAGCGTGTTGTAAACACGAACTTTTATTAAAAGTCTAGGTTGACTTTTTTTTACTAAAGATGGAGCTAATGAATTTTAAAAACCCTCCTTAACTGTGCTTACAACTGACCTCTGTAACAAATTACATCCTACAAAATTATAGTTAAACCTCATTTAATTGTATAAGATGCAAACTTTTTTTGTTGTTTTTAATTCTTCAATGTGTGTAAAATATGTTGTATCCGAAATTAAAACTAATAAAAAATCTTGCTAAACATATTTACCAGCGCCGTACAAACGACTTATTGACGAGATCAAGCAAAACTAACTATGAGAGAACAACTGGAGAACTAATAATTTGACTAACAATAGACGACTGTTTAACTGCGACAATAGACGGATCGAAACGCACCAATCACTGATTAAGAGTCTTCATAGCCAATAACATCACGGCTTAACTGACAGACGACCAATAACATCGCAACATAATTGACCAATCAGATCAATAAGCAGAGTATAATACCATCAACTGACGTGATACAACTCACTTTGACTCTGAAGATGACTACCGCACAGGTTGTCAAAACGTCAGTCACTGTCAACAACAACAGTCTTATTCAGGACTACGTTCACCCATAGAATGATTTGTTTCACAACACAATAAGGTGGCAAAGAAGGATTGCCCCTTTATCTTTTCATTATACATACATGTTGTAGTTCAATTTTGCTCATGGTACAAATTGTCTTCGTACTGGTACAATATTATTTTTAAACTGCTATGAAATTATTTTATTAAACTGGTCTCATTATATCTTGTTAAGAAATAGTCTTAGTTTACAGATATTTAGGGTTAGGGTTTGGGGTTAAGCACAAAGTATTAACTACTGATAATGGACCAAAATTAATGACTCAGTCTCACAAATGTTTGCTTTTTTCTATGCTGGTCAAATGTTAAACCTGATGCCATAAAACATCTACCTGGTAGGTTATTTGAAAAAGAATCTACGTCCAATAATGTTTGTACTTTAAATCTGAACGGATTAGCCCATGGTAGATTTTCACTATGAAAACAGAGTGCTCTGTGTTCACAGTGATCAAGACTGCTTTACACAGACTTATATAAATAGTAAGGGTAAGTAACAGCTTTAGCCACACAATTTGATGACTTCAAATAACATTTCTATTAAAATGTAATCGTTCTTGCTAAAGTAGCCTGTTGTAATAGAAATGTTAACATTGGAAGGCCTCAGATAAAATTGATCACCAATTTTGGTTTAATTATGTTTCACTCAGACTTTCCTATGGTTAATATATTATGTAGTAATAATTCACGTTAAGGCAGCTCACATAAACAGTTTACATGAACAGGCCTAGGGTTTCATGAACATTAAAGGTCAATTTCAGAACGAGCTTGATCAGTTGATAGTTTGAGAAACTTCTAGGAAGCATTCAAGTAAATTAAAGGACGAGAATGTTACAGTACAGAACACTAATAGTGTTTGACCTTTCTTGTAAAGGAAGAAAGAATGAAATAAAGAAATGAACACAACACTTGCCAAGGATCCAGCAATTAGTGGTGTTTTTGAAATATTATTTGGTTCATCATGTGCATATTTCTGTCTCTTCTGGTAGCACATGCTTCATTTGTTTGCAGTACATTTTTTATCTTCAAAGAAACCCTATCTCCATTTTTGGCCAACTGAAACAATGGTGAAACTTCTCCTTTCACTCCATCCCAATCATCTGATTGTCCAGTACGTGAATTGTGCATCTTTAATGTCTCCCGCTCACAGTCTAAGTAGAGTTCAACAATGTTGCCATTTGCACATGAAGTTTCTTCACCATAATATGACCACATTGTATGTTGCTGCTTTCTAGAATTCCACAGCCACTTGCTATTTTGTGTGAGCAACATTTTCCTATGACTGCTTCCTTTACTGGTGATGACACCAAACGAGAGCTCCCCATGAATCTGAAACTTCCAGAAATGTTTCCCACTAGTAAAACCAACATAACCCACAGCATTGATGTAGGATCCTCTGTCAGAACAAGAACTGTGACCGTATTCATAATAAACAGGTTGATGAGTCCTACCTCTGAAGGATTCCTGATTGTACTGAGCTGTCATATTTTCTTCAAGTAATTGTAATTGACCTTCACTGCCCTTTGGAGAAAAAGTTGTAAGAGTCCACTTCTCAACAATCCATGTGAACGGACTTCCCTTAACATGACCATTCCTCAGCTGCACAGAGAGCTTGTAATGGCCTGCTTGGGTTGGAGTATGGCAAAAACTGTATGTACCATTTCCACAGTTTTGTACTTTCTGATTCACAGGTGTGTTCCCGGAATGTGAGTTAACAGGGGTTATTAACACGTTAAAGACATCACTTGTTTCCATTTGCCTTCTCCCAGTGTGTTCCTTTGCATTAATAATAAAGTTCACTGGCTGTCCAGACAGTGTATTGTACATCACACCTTCCTCTCCATTTTCCATTGTTACTGTTGACAAAAAAGCACAAGTTAAAGAAACCTTGTCAGTAACATTTCCAAATGTTTTAATATAATGTTCCAATTGTTTGTCATCAGTAAATTTTATGCCTTCATTAACACATGGTTCCAGCTGCCACTTGGTAGAGTTCAAATCCTGCAATCGATTGGAAACATGCTTTTGCATGTTTAAGATCTCAACTTCACTCCCATTTTCAAGTGCCTTTTTGGTGAAATCCAAGCTGCTTTGTACCTTTGCAAAAGCTGTCTCCAGTTCTTCTTGCTGACTTTGTAAAGAATTAAGTTTTTTCTCACTAAATTTTCTAATTTCAGTGATCAACTGGCTACGACGATTATTAAGGCAAGCTTTGAGATTCTTAAAACACTTTTCAACTTCTTGTTCAATATCAACTGCATAAGAATTTACATTTCCCTTCATTTCCAAGACACCATCTATGGCCTCCTTGAGAGCAGTTGCTTTTGTTTCTGTGTCAGACAGAATTTTATGCAGGCTTTCCTTGCCCTCTGCAAAGGCATCCTTCACAAAAGTGTACTTGTGATCACGATGCTTTACGATGGTGCAGTCTCTACAAATAGCTTCCTCACATGTCTTACAAAACAATTTTATCACCTCCCCATCATGTTCTTTGCATATTACTGGCTTTGTTACAGCTGCTGATCCCATCTTTTTTGCTTCTTCCAGGGTCATCAAACTGTGAGACCTGGTGTTACGCCCTCGTTGATGAGATATAGTGCAAAACTCACAAAGGAAATATGAGCAAGTTGCACATCTATTGACTGGTGGATCTCCACTTTCACAGTTATCACATTCAAGAGAAGAACCACCGGAATCTTCATGAAGAGCAACCACAGATAATAAGTTGTTGACAAAGAAATTGGCTGGTAGCAAATCAATTTTTCCTTGAGGAATCTGCACACAATAAATCATAACAATATGGTTTTCAAAAAGCACTCTAACAAATGCCTAATGCCTTCAGCTATTAATATCTTGCGCAAGTAAAGGTAGGTTAACACAGTTTGAAAGGTTCTTGATTGTTACCATTCATTGAGGTTGTATTCAAGACTTGTCACAGGTATAAATATTTAACATTTGGCAAAAATATATTTATGAGACATGACATTTATAAGGTTAAAAGTAAGATTTTGGTCATTGCCATGGTAACATGCTTGATGATAATCATGCCTGACATATTGAATTTATTGGATTTTTGCAAAATTAATCCAATTATTAAATTTCTTTATAATTTTGCACACAGCTCGTGATATTTTTAGTAACCTTCACTACTTAAAATAGGAAAAGGATTCTTCACCAAACTTTGTTAAATTTTAATAAGTAGATTTTAAGATGTTGTTGCTGCCTTAGTACGCATGCTCAAGACTTCCGCGTTGAGCCGCGCGCTGTGATCACGCGCGCAACGAATAAAGACTAAATTTCTACTGACAACTTTCTATGACTTTTGGTCTTTCCTTAGCTTGTCCTTGCACTTTTTCTTCAAAAGCTTATTAGTTGCATATAATCTCATGATAAAGATTCTCACGTGTAAAGTGAAAAGGATTAAAAAAACTGTGTTGAGTCGCCCCACTGTATGGTTTCGAAGTGTGGGTGAAACAATAAAAATCTTCTATTAGATATTTATACATGAGAGAGTGAACAAAGAACTGTCTTGCAGCCTAGCTACACGAAAACGTTGTTTCTAGGACTGTACGTAAAAGTCAAAACATTAGGTGTGTATCCAAACTCCAATCCGAGAAGCAAAAAATGTATTTTACTTGTTTTCCTCGTAATTCGTGGGACTTGTACATATTAAGAACAATTTTGCGTCACCAACATCGGTAGAAATTTGAAAACAGCTAGAGCTTTGTTTCAAATAAACTAACCTCAGCGCTCGAGCGGCATGTTGGGCAACTTATCTTCGACTTTGCTTCCTCTCGAGTCAAAAGTCCTTGTAGGCATCTTTTGCAAAAAGAGTGAAGACAGGGTAGAACTTTAGGTTCCTTGTACTGCTCAAGACACACTGCACATTCTAAATGCTTCCCTAAGCTGTCCGCCAAAGATGCCGCCTTTGCCATTTTTTGCAAAAAGAGACGACTTTTTTTCGTTTCAGTTTCGTTTCCTTGAGTTTAAAACGACTGCGCAGAGCTGTAAAAACGATGAATGACTACCAAACGATCGACATTCGAAGATTCTTCGAATTCACTCGTGGGTGGTTCCCACTTCCCGGAAAAAGTAGTCACGTGTTTAGATGGTGATGTTGCACGGGGCGATTTCCAACCAAGGTTTTTAGCGCAACACAGGGTTGCAACATTGTTGCAACATTGTGCCAAGTAGTCACAACACTGGTCCAATATTGCGACGACGTGTTGCACTAAAAATCGTCGTTGCGAATCGTCCCGTGTAACATCACCTTAAAAGCCAGAAGACTCTGTGTACGAGATTGGGAGCTTAAGCAACAACAACGGCGACGAAGGCCTATATACAAATATCACGAAAAATCGCCTAAATATATTTCCGGAAATTCCCGATTTTTTTTTCTAAATACCTCGAACTTTATTTCTAAATATCTCGAAAATGTTCTAAATATCTCAAAAATATCTGGCTTCATTTCATATACATTGCAATAAAAACACAAAAATAGCAGGTCATCTACAATCATGGCAACACAAATTTCAGCCATTTTGTTGAACATTAGCCACATTGCATGTATTATAAATGGAGAATATTGCTGAATCTGTTTACAACAGGTCCATATGTGGAGATTTGTTTGAAATTAGCATTGAAGTAGCCTCCTAGAAAAACATGATTTCAGTACTTTTTTCGCAACAAAATTCTCAATATCACCATTTTTTCCTAAATATCATGAGATTTTCTAAATATCTCAAAATCGTCCAAATAACTCAATTTGTATCTAGGCCTAAATACGGCGACGGTTACGAAAACATAACTTAAAAAATTAATTCGCGCTGCTTCAAACTCTATCGTGCTTATTCCAACTCGTTCAATTCGTCAAATGTTGGCAAATTATTCTGGAGATAAATTCTAAAAGATTGTATCAAAGTTCAGGAAAAGAAAAAGAAATTCACGTCCTCGACACAACGTGAAATTAGGCAGCTTTCACGTTGTAGTCGTGCAATGACGGCAAAGACATGTACAAAAAAGCGTGATGCACGTGCAAAGTTGTTGTTTTGCCAATCTAAAGCTACTGCTTTTTTACCGTTCTCGTTAGTTGCCTTCGCCGTCGTCGTTGCTTAAGCTCCAAACGCGAACTGCGGACTGGGTTTATCAAAACATCTGTAGAAAGGTAAAACTGAGAGAAACGGATAGCGGACTAGCATAAAAGACACATAAAACAGTACTTTCAGCTCCTTGCTTCACAAACAAATTTAAGCCCAATACACCGAATGGTTACGGAGAAATTCTCTTCTAAAAACTCGAAATTTTACCTAGAATGTATGGATCATTAACTTTTTTGCCACACAGCAATTTTGTAGTTTTTGATGGCGGATATTTCCTTCAATATTGCTTGCAAAGAGCTGAAAATTGCACAAATTGCTCAAATTAATCAGCTCTTTCAACTTTTGCATTCAGATCATATGTACGGCCACGGCTTCTATGAGTAAGGTGATTCCATGGTTTTGCACTGCGCATCTCTTACTGCGCATAAGATGGCCGCCGTAAAAAGGAGCATGTGAAGTTGCATTATTAAGTTGACTGAAGAGAAACGCTATTGGAATTTTTGCTTGCGGTTGTTTCTTGCCGAGGTGAGACTCAATGTGTTGGGAATCTGCATAACGTAAGCAGTACGCATGTTGCTGAGTTCTTCTTCACGGAGAACCTCGATAGTGGATGTTTAACTTGTGCTTACTCACTTTGATTTTCATTTAAACGCTTTCTTTATCACATTGTGTCCTAAATGCGATATCTCGATGTAAATTCTGTAAAAACGGATTTTTAATACTTTCTTTCCCGTTTCACATACATTCTATTTTGAAACTCGCCCCAGTCCTCTATCAAAAATCGGAGAAAATGCATTTGGTGCGCACTTTCTGCAGCTCTACCGCAAAAACGAGTACGGTGACCCCCATTTTTTATTTCATGATTTTAATAAGGACAGTGCTTCCTTTCGATGAGAAAAAAATAGGCACAAATCTGTGTTCAGTTTTTTGCAATTTTATTAAATTGTACGGATTGAGCTATCGCGGGTCGAACAGCGCGTGTCCAATTCAATTCTATTTTGGAGCGTAGAGTAAAAGCAAGGGCATTAAAGGCCATTTTTCTGGTATGTCAGTGGATAAACAATACATTAAGGTCAAATTCTGTGCGATACCACATGCATCATCGAAAAAAATCTCTCCTTTTTGTCTAGTTTTGGGCTGCGCGCGGGTTTTGTCAAAGGGTCCAAAATAGCCGTATTTGTCAGCATTGTGACGTCAAAACGAGCACTATGACCCCCACTTTTTATTACTTTTTCATCGTCTTCTTGACTTGTTACATCAGTGTACCAAGTTTCATCTGCAATCTATGTTAGGTTCTTTTACTAAGGAATCACCTTAAAGTCGTATGCTAATGAGGAAAACTGTAAATAATGACGTCAGCAAAGATTTGCCTTATTCCGCAATACAAAAAAGGCTGTATTTAGGGTAGAGAGGTTACTCAGCTATACGCGAATAATAACCGAAATCAGTATATTATCTAACGTTATATTCTAACCGATGATGATATAATTTACACCTATATGTAAAAATGTACATCGCGCTAATGGATGTTAGAGACCGAGACCAGGTCTAAAAATGGGTAAAAAAAAACAACAAGTTACAACAGGGAAACTTCGCGGGGTATACCCAAACAATTTTTCGAAATTTTTTTTCCCGGAAGTTTTCTTTCCATACAACTTTGCCGCCGGAAAATCTACTATTTTCGGTTGAATGGTTCGCATTCGGAAATTCAACAGTTGCCTGGATTTCTGGAAACTTTTCGTGGACATTTCTGTACCATTTGCCGCCGTTTCCAAATTTTCGAAAGTTTTGGTTGAATGGAAAGCGCAATTTAATTTCGCGTTTTTCTCGCGCCTAAATTTCGAACATTACTTCGAGTCGCTTGAGCGACTTCAACTAATGCCTGAAATTCAGGCTAGAGGGTGCGAATGGGGTATAGCTGTAGTCAGTAAATGGCTGAAAAAATGCTATTTTGTCAGTAAACAGCTGGAAAATCGCTACTTAGTCAGTAGAGAGCAAAATAAAAAAACGTTTAGTTAGCTGTTAATCGGCATGTTTTGAGTCCCGCAGTCGTTTATGGCCGTTTATAGGGTAGGTCTTTTACAAATCACTTACTCTCAAGACTCCCAAAACTGAATAAGTTTTATCCCACTTTCCAGTTTGAAATTTTCTTGAACACTATATCAAAGCAGCAAGAATATTGGTTTCTTACAAGAGGTCTTACAAATCCAGCCTAACCACAGCTTTTATTTGTCTTCCATTTCGCCTATTCCAGGTTGAAGGTACCACATCACTCTCCATCTCCTCATCCTCATAGTTGAGGCAAAGATTAATTGGAATCAAAGTCAGAGACATACTCTTCGATAACTTCCTCTTCCGCCGCCTGGTTGGCTCAGCTGGGAGAGCGCCGGTCTGCTGAGCGCGAGGTCGCGGGTTCGAACCCCGGCCGGACCAACACTCAGGGTCAATAAATAACTGAGAATAGAGTGCTGCCTTTTTAATACAAACGGTTTAATAGACTTTCTAGTCTTCTCGGTTAAGGACGAAGAACTTTGGGTCCCGTCTTACAGCAATTTCACTTTAATATTTGGTTCTTGTGGGACGTAAAAGAACCCACACCACTTTTCGAAAACTGTATGGGACGTAGACCCCGGTGGTGTGGCCAACCTTTACCCATCAGTCACATCATGGGTTGGGTGGGTACAGTAAGCTCATAAATGGACTGAGAGCGGCTGCCAGTGGCGCCTTTGTATGCTGACGTCCGAGCTTACTTAATTAATGACTCCTTCCTTCCTTCCTTCCTTCGATTTCCTTCCTCTCTTTCAATGACTTCTTCTTCCACATCGCTGTTGAGAGGCCGAGTCTTGTGGTAGGTTTATAGCCCATAGACTGACATGGGCAATGTACCAGCTGAAAATTGGGTTGTTTGCTGCCTAACAGTAAGCTGTCGAACACACTGCCCATGTTCACTGGCCCATTCCTCCATCTTTGCAAGGTTCTTCTTGTCTATGGGCACTACTGGAATCGGATTTAAATTTTGCAGTAGCAGAAAGATCAATTGCGAGCTCTGGAACGAGTTAATAGGATTTCCGGTGGGTGAAGTATTTGTTATTCACTTAACAGATTCTCTCATTGCCTTTCCAAATCTCGGCAGTAGTCTAACAAACTTGGTGTTGGGTGTTTCATCTTCGTGGTCGTGTAAAGGTTCTCTACAAGCAAAGTCAACAGAGACTGTAGCTTGATCGCATGAACTCTGATGTTTTTAGAAGACGGGTAATGCTTTTTAACATTTGCTCACAAGATTGCATGGTCTGGTTGAACTACTCTGCCCTCTGGTCCATTTGTGATTCTTTCTGAGCCAATCTGCAAGTTTACAGCTGAGACACATCTTTTAAGGAACCTTGTAACACCTTGGGGTTTACGCGTCTACAAGGGTATTGAATCTATACCGGTCTGGCCTCGCAAAGGAACAATTCCCCAAAATCTGTTAGGAACTCAACCGTACCATCCAAAGGGGTTACAAGCTTGACACACCCTGTAGCTGAATCAGTCACATACTGTGTTCTTCCCTCACAGCAAATACAGTCGAATCTCCCGTAAGCGACCAGGCAAAATGCAAAGACTGAGTGCTCGGTTACGGGAGGTGATGGCTTACAAGAATCTAACCACAGGTAGTCTCTTCCGAGAAGAGGTCTAGGCACATGTGCTTTATGGAAGATAATTATTTATTGCATGCAATGTCTAAGTTACGCCATGTGTAGTTCCATGTTGTCAGTTTAAAGTTCTTCGTATATTCTTAGTAGCATAGTGCACACAGCGAACAAAGAGATTAGAGAATACGTCAAGTGATCGCTTACAAGAGGTTTAAAAAAATGCCGTAAAATCATCAACCATCAGGCCCAAAAAGTGGTCGCGATTGCTTACAGGAGGTGGTCGTTTACTAGAGGTTCCAACTTTAACGCTTTGACTGGGAAAATTTTGGTGTTTTGGATTGGCAGTTGCTTATGGGAGATGGTCGCTTACGGCGGAGAGAGGTGGCCGCACATGGAGGTTCGACTGTACCACAAAACGTCACGGGAAAACGGGAAGCAAGTGAATATTCACAAAAAAGGCACTTTTTTTCCATTTCTGTCTCTAAATACTCGTGTTATTCTTAAAAAAGCCTCATCTTTTTGTATTAATTTCTTACTTTTATCTGTTTTATGTGTGTACTTTGCTCCATATACGCTTAAAAAATCACATCCTTTTATGCGCTTGTCAGTAAATATTTTGTTATTTATAGGCTTAAAATGGCGAAAAAAGGCCTTTGTACGTACCCTTAGGCTAGCGTTTTTCTAGGCTCGATATCAGCTTTAATTGTGGCAAAGACTGTACAGTTCTGTTACTCATTCTACGAGCTTCACTGAGTAAACATGTCTCATCAGATCAACAGCTCGGAGCTCTCTACATCCGCTACAACTCTCCATTTCCACAAGCGGAAGAATTTATCTCTGAAACTACTAAGAGGTACAATTTGAATCTGATTACTATGAATGGGAACATTAACGATGCTCTGAAAACATTGAAAGAAACTCAACCCTCAATCAAGCCGATTTTGTGGGGCACAAGGACATATGACCCCTTTTCTGAGGCACTTCGTACATTTTCTCCAACTGATCCAGACTGACCTCACTACATGAGAGTGAATCCAATTCTGGATTGGCATCATGCCGATGTTTGATCATTTATCAGGGAATGTGATGTCCCTTACTGTAGCGTCTATGATGAAGGGCTATACATCACTGGGTAGCAGTCACAACACTAACCCTAATCCTGCATTGAAATATGAAGATGGCAGCCACAGGTATAAGCCTGCATGCATGTTTACTTAGAAGATGGAAGTTTTGTGAGGGCTGTGAGAGACTAACTTCAACAAGATAATGACCGGAAAAAGATTAATTAGTAAAAAAAATGGAGTATTCGAAAAGACGAAATTTTGGCTAAGTAAGCAAGATTACCATTGTTGTTAACTATATAAACTTTTCAACAAAACCTTACAGTAAAGTGACCTTTCAGTTCGCAACGCAACTCCCAACTCAGAAAAGGTGCTTTGTAAGTCATGTCTACAGGCTAGAGTGACAGAAAAATCAATAAGACACCAAAGGATGCACTTAGTACTCCCTGGCCTGGAATGGGGGTGTGCAATATTATTTCATGTTTTAGGCAATTTGAAGCAATACAATGCAATACAATAATTTTTATTAACTCTCCCAAAAGGCTATTCTGAACTTAATTTGCAAATGCTAAAAAGAAGGGGATAAGAAGAAAAAGCTTAAATTAATTACAATCTTGGTACAAAACTAAAAGCCTAAACTATGCGCGTACAACTGCTTTTGCTTGGATTTATCAGTAATTGGTGTGAGCAACACCACCAACCAATGAGACATAGGTCTTCCGTCATTTTTACAAGGCCAGAATTCATGTTTTTAGCCGAAAAGGAGCAGTAGATCTTAGTATCATCAACGTAGGATTCGGTACAGCTGGACTTAACTGCGGAGGGTAGATCATTTGTATATAAGTTGAACAATAACCTAAGATGGAGCCTTGAGGCACGCCATGTGTTATCGTAAGCTCATCAGATAGAGAGGTGCCTAATCGAGTAGACTGCTTGCGGTCCGTGAGGTAACTCTTGAACCATGTCAGAGCCTAACTTGATGTGCCTAGGCTGCGTAGTTTGAGAAGTGTACTGTGGCAAATACCGTCGAAGGCCTTGCTGAGGTCTATAATTTAGGACCATAGCCGTCAATTGCTGTTGGTCTACAGCCCTGAAGATATGATCAGTAACTCTCAGCCACTTTAGAAAGGACAGGAAACAATGAGATCGGCCGGTTGTTATTGGGGACCTCATGATCACCGTCTTTTAGGTGAGGTACAATCAAAGACTTTTTCCAAGCCCTAGGGAATTCAGAACAGGCAAACGAGGAGTTGATTAGTCTAGTTTAAGTCGGAAGTATGTAAGGAAGGCAGTCCTTGATGACTAACAGAGGAATTCTATCATAGCCGGGGGCCTTGTTGGACGGCATAACAGTTAAAACCTCTCGGACTTCAGAACAGGACACAGGTTTAAAGTCGAACAAGCCTTCACCAGACTTCGGTGAATTATTGCTACAAGAGGGGAAGTAATCGGTGAGCCCAGGCGACCGGGCCAGCTCAGCGGATTTACCAGCTGCATATAAAAAACTGGTACAGATTTGCGCAGATTTGCTTATTGAAATATTCTTTTGCTGCCTTCAGTAGAATAGATTTAACTTCCTTTTTCAGGTCTCTGCCAGTCATTCACCGACCCAGTCCTCCGCGCTTTCCTGTGCGTAGAGTCCCTTGTCTTCATGAGATCCTTGATATGGTCAGTGATGAATGGATTCGGCTGGCGTTTTAGCTTTACGGTTTTCACAGGAGCATGAGCATTCAAACAGGTTAAAAATAAGTCATTAAACGCGTCCAACTTTTCATCTACAGAATCCATCAAGTCAATCGTATCCCATGGGATATGCGCTATATCATTTGCAAATTGGTCAGCATTGTACTTCCGGAAACTTCGTGTTGTGATATAATTCGTAGCTTGTCTAGGTGCTCTCAGATTTAAGACGGCAAAGACTAAGTGGTGATCGCTAATAGTCAGGTCGAGAACATTACTGGATTGAACCAGATCAGGATTGGATACCAGCCCCATTCCAATGTTAACACAAACCACAAATAAAGTTCCTGTGATCATTTATTTAAAACAATCTATGTACTGTACATAACATCTTGTCAGTGTGTAGAGGAGTATTGAGTTTTGGTTCACTGTCATAGTTAGGAAACTAACAGTTTGATCTGAAATAGAACAATTAGGGCAATTGAAGATTATGTGATACCTCCAACCAACATACCCCAGTACCTCGACATAGAATTTGCATCACCTTATAAAATCAAGTTTCGTTTGTACATGTTGCTACAGCTTTACGAGCTGATCTTCAGTTTTGGCAATGCATTAGTTTTACTGTACTGATGAATATTGTCTTATAACTGATGCACAGGAACAGTAACTAAGAATATTCAGGGCTATTTAAAGAAAGGAAATTTACATCATATCACCAGGACAAAAAATATAACGAACTTCTACATAACAAGTATGTGCTATGATGAACCGTCGTTCTTTACCGCTCACTAATATAAAAATATATGGAAAAGAACTTCGATTTAATAAACTCAGTTATAGCAAACATACTTTGCAGTCCATTGGCCCTTCGTTTTATCAAGGTTCCAGTGGATAAATATTAATGACGCCTGTACTAAGAAAAGAGGTAAGGAAGGAAGTTGCCTTGGTTACAATCTATTAGTCTAGAATTCAATCTACAATCTTGGGTGACTTCCAAAAGGCAGTACACTAAAAGTCCTTTTTCAAATATTGGCTATGTCCCTGTGAAATGCTCTTTGACTTTAACATTCATGCACTACTAGCCTTTTTATCTATTTACCATATAAAGACATCTTATTAAATCACAACCAGTTTCATTATTTGGCAATGAAATCTCACGTTACTTTAGTAGCAAGTAAATCCTACAAAAAAAGCTTTTATTGTCACACTCTCACTTAGAGCATGGTGTGACTTGTTGAAATCTAAGGCCCTGTTTACATGAGGGTCACCCTCCCAACCGAGTCAACTTTAGCGGGCATTTATGTGAGAAAAAGTTTACTCTTTTAGCCAGAGACGACAATGCTCGTGCATGCTCTGACTGTCTAAAACATCATTCATGCATGCTCTGATTGTGTCACCTCATGTTCTGAGTCGACCGGGCTTATATGGCCGAAAGTTGGCCTGGCTAAGAGGACGACCCTACCATCAATGAAGGGTTGCCTAGCCAATCCAACTTTTGTTTCTCATGAAAACGGTTCACCAGGTGTTTGCTCGTCCAGGGTAGCTCGCGTAAGCAGGTGACCCTTCTACCCGGTAAAACATTTCTACATATAAACAGAGCCAAAGACAAAAACTATAGCTACCCTGTATAGATTTGTTTAACCATGTATATACATATTAATTTCTTTACACTCATAAACTGTTTTGTTAGCCATTTGCACATTTTGTTTGTTATTGCTGACCTTTGATAAGAGCTATTGCATGTTGACCTATGCTTGCAAAAGCCTTTTAAACATCAATCAAAATTATTGCCACCTACATTTGTGGAAGTGTTCAGTACATATGTTTTCAGTGTTCAGTGCATTCGTTTCCCCTCAACAAATTTTTTTACGGGGAGGCTCCGCCCCAAGGTCCAATCCCTTACCCTTTTATATACCATTTTTAACCAAAAAGTTACCCCTTTCCTATATACCATCTATTGCAAATGGTACCCCTTTCACATAGCTCGTTTAGAACTTTGCATTCCTTTTAACTGCTGTAATGCACTGTCATTTAAATAGGCATCAATCGCAGAAGTAGAACGTTTTCTCAACTTTATAAAGGCACTAAGTTCATCTTTTAGCCCTTTTAGGCCCTTCCACAGTAACAAATGACAGATTTGCCTACCCTTTCGTATACTTCAAGGAATATAATCCCTACCCTTTCATATACCTGAAGCCTGAAAAAGGTACCCCTTTCAGGCGGAGCCTCACCGTATAGGCCATTATAGGGAGTATCCCCCCCCCCCACCCCTGGGAGGGGAGACCAGTCGCTGCAAAAAATAAATGGAGTCCACACCACAAAACATCTTAACAGTTTTTTCCCAGCAACACAAATTTTCTTCCATGGTAAGTCAATCACCTGAGGTGGTTTGGTTATCCTGCCAATCACATAACATCAGAGACCTAAAATTCATAAAAAAAGCCATGAAATGCAAAAAAGGAATTGACTTATAATGGTGACTGTGGATGGAATACCTTACCATAAAATTTGCTAACTTTTAGCTTTTTTGGGTATAATTTTTAAAAATACCTCCAAGCATAATTATTGTAGTCAAGAACTTGACTGCATGTAGCCCTTTTGCATGTTTATGTCAGATGAGCAAATTTCAACACCAAGCCCACTAAAATTTAATTTGGGAAGTTTTACATAGATGAATTGTCACTATAGTTGTTTTGACAAAAAAATGCTCATTAACATATGCATAAAGAGTGCAAGTGCAAAGAAATCATAAATGAGGCTTAATAGTGATGAAATTTTCTTGTCCGATGTAAACACACATAAGGGCCATACTTCTACAAAGTATTAATAATTTGTCATCAGTAACTCAAAGGATCTTTGTGTCCAAACCATTTATCAGTATAATCATTATTATCAACATCAATCATCATCATCATCTTCACCATCATCATCATCATCATCACCATCATCATCATCATCATCACCATCAACATAATAATCTTCACCATCATCATCATTATCTTCACCACCATCATCATCATCATCTTCACCATCGATCATCATCATCATCTTCACCATCATCATCAACATCTTCCCAGTCATCATCATCATCTTCACCATCATCATCTTCATCTTCTCCATCAACATAATAATCTTCACCATCACCATCATCATCTTCACCACCATCATTATCATCCTCCTCATCATCATAATCACCCTCACCATCATCATCATCACCATCTTCACCATCATCACCATTTTCACCATCATCATCATCAACATTAACATCATCATCATCATCAACATAATCACCATCGTCATCATCAACATAATCACCATCTCCTTTGTAGCTGTACTTAAGAAATTCACCTAAACTGATTTGATCTTTGACGGACCACTGAAATGGACTTTCTCGAATATGAGAGCCCTTAAGCTGCACAGACAACTCAAAAAAGCCAGTTTCCATTGGTGTGTGGCAGAAACTGTAGGTACCATTTCCACAATCCTTCACTGGAATCTGTTTCACTTGAGACCTAAGTGGATCAGCAGTGTTCACAAAAGCTTTGAAGATATCTCCACCTTCTTTCCGCCTCCTACCATTGCTTTCCTTTGCAATGATACTGAATTTTACTGGCTGTCCACATAGTGAACTGTACATGACACCCTCTGGTCCATTTACCATGGTTAAAGTTGACATGCCAGCATCAGTTACCATGTCACTAACAATACCAAAGGTTGAAATGTCCTCCTTCAAATGGCCATTACCTGTGAAGCTTAGAGATTCATTAACACATGGTTCCAGCTGCCATTCAGCCAATTTTAAATCTTGTAATTGACTAAATATTTGCTTACGCGTGTTTAGGATCTCCACCTCACTGCCGTTTTCAACTGCTTTTTCAGTGAATTGCACACTGCTCTGTACACTTGCTAGAGCTTTTTCTAGCTGTTCCTGCTGAACATCCAGAGATTTCAATTTTGCTTTTTTGAATTCTTCTACTATATCAACCAGATATGTTTTGCGAGCAGCAATGCAATCTGTCAGTTCATCACAACACTCAACAACTTCTTGTTTGGTCTGATTGGCACAAGAGTGTACACTTCTCTTCATCTCCAAAACACCTTTCACAGCCTTTTCAAGAACATCTGCTTTTTCCTTTGTATCAGCCAGAGCCTTCAGCAAGCTTTCTTTGCCCTTTGAGAATGCATCCTTCACGAATGTATACTCGTGATCACGATGCTCCACGATGGTGCAGTCTCTACAGATAGCTTCCTCACATGTATTACAAAACAGTTTCATCACTTCTCCATCATGTTCTTTACAAACTGCTGGCTTTGTTACAGCTGCAGACCCCTCTACAGAGACCAGATTGTGTGACCTGGTGTTTCGTGCTCGTTGATGAGCTTGAGTGCAAAACGCACATAGAAAATAGGAGCAAGTTGTACATCTGTTAGCAGGTGGATCTCCACTGTCACAGATATCACACTCAAGTTTTCTGTTTTCTGATTCTTCGTGAAGAGCAACCACAGATAATAAATTGTTGACAAAGAAATTGGCAGGTAGTAAATCAACTTGTCCTTGAGGAATCTGTGTATTACAAGTGTATTCATATTATTTATAATAATTGTAAAAGATTAGTAAATGCAGTCACACCTGTACAGTATGTGGTCCTTGCATTTTGGTCCAATGAAAAAGATGTAAATGAGTAATTTCTTATCCTAGGAGAGGAGCACTGAGCTGAAAGTTGTCCTCTAAGTTGCTGTAACATATTTTACTAACTTAAAACCGACAGCTTCTGAGCCTTACCGAAAATCCTGCATTATAGAAAATGACTGCTCTGTTTAAAGACCCCTGGTTCGGCCAGTGGTTCCTTGGTCCGGCCACTTTAGTCACTTTGTAAGCCGGCATGCAAACTGTGCACAAAAAGAAACATTCCAAACACCAGCTGATCTTAATTCCTGTATATTTTCTATAGGCATCATTTTAACTTCAAAACCAAAATGAGATTTCTGTGTAAAGAGCTATAGTTTGGTCTCATGAAGAATTATCATTTTTGCATCTGTGCGAATGTGTGTTGTGCAGTTATCAATGCAGTTATGATGCAAATGCAGAGAAATCGCCACTACTAGTGGTGATTTCTCTGCATTCGCATCACGATTTTAAATGAATTTCAATTAAAGAAAAATTTATTTTGCTGTCGCTTGTTCACAGATTCCAAGCAAAAACTTCCTATCAGAAAATTTTCTGTCTCAGTTGGCCTTCAATGTAACTACTTAATAAATTATTAATAAAGTGCACTGGTGCTGCTGGGAAAGTCTCAAGCAATATATCTTGAACACTGCAGGCGGTTTTTATTATTTACTCCACTCATTGAAAGTGCTTTACTTAAAATGTGTGACTCAAAGTGGAAAGATCCTCACTGCACTAATTTATGAATCTTAATTTACTAAGAACTAAACGAAACAAAAAATTGAACTTTCTGAGGGGGTGGGGGGGGGGGTGACCACTACCTAAAATATCCTATACAGGGAGGCTCCACCAAAAAGGAGTAACTTTATTAGGGTCCAGGTAAATAAAAGGGGAAGGGTTTTATTATTTGAAGTAAATTAAAGGGAAAAAAAATATGACATATGGGCTTCTGATAGCGACCAAAGAGCACAACAATAAATTTATTGGCTTTGTGAACCTTTCTTTTTATGTGAAACTCCCTATAATAGCCTATACTGGGAGGCTCCACCCAAAAGGGGTACCTTTATAAGGGTTCAGGTATATGAAAGGGCAGGGATTTTATTTGTTGAAGTATACGAAAGGGTAAAGAAATCTGTCACATGGGTCTGTGAAAGGGCCCAAAGGGCTCACAAATAAATTTTATGGCTTTATGAAACTTTCTATTTTTGTGATTGACTCCTATTTAAATGACATTTACAGCAGTTAAAAGGGATGCAGTTCTATAAACAAGCTAGCTATGTGAAAGGGGCACCATTTGTGAAAAATGGTATATAAAAGGGTATATGTAAGGGGTTGCACCTCAGGGTGGAGACTCCCCGTATAAAAATTTGTTGAATATAAAAACCTTGATTTTCCCAAAGATTTTCTGTAATTCGACAGTATCAATGTTAAAGAAAATGTATGGTAAAATTGAGGTTTTCAAAAAACTGATCACTGACTTCAATTCTTTGCACTCCAGATTTAGTGTATAATTTTGTTTCTTTGAACTTCTTTTCAAAGAGAAAGCATCAAATATATGAATTCAGGAAGAATTAGCTGCATGGCTATGAATTCTAATACAAATCTTTGAATTTCCCGCCATCTTGCCCTGAATACCCATGCATGATGCAACTATGAGCATTAACTCCTCTTTTCACTTACGTTCAAGTTAACTTGATTTTCCAGCCTTCGCTAGAATCAGGAAAACCTCTAATGGAGATTAAGAAGCTAGCCACATGAATAAACACTGGGAACATTTTGTTTGTTTTGTAACCTTATTTTCTTCTCGAAAATTATATCACAAAGTAAAACCGGCCGGCCCTGGACTAAGGACCACTTACTGTATTGGATGATCAACAAGTTGACTCAGTTTAATACAGCAGGTTTGACAAATTTAAGAGTTGTTAGCAAGAAACTGGAGATCAATGGCAAAAGAGCATCACATGACAAATTGATCTTAATATTAAAGTAAGTCTTTTCCTTCTTCTTTTTAGTGTTAAAAGTAAGGAAGTAATGGGCCGTCAACATATTCACTTTTTCCCCATTTAACATCAACTAGACGTTCAAGTCAGACCCCCCTCCCCTCCCCCCCACTCCTTCACTTCCACTTGAAATTTTGCTGCCCCAAAAGTCACTGCATTCCAGAAGGAATACTAACATGTCCTTACAATACATGAAGATGTCAACGGTATCAACACAATTTACTGCTTTAAAAAGTGGCAGAAACTTCATTATATTTTAAAAATATTTTTGAAGGTAAAAAACCAGTGAGCAGCACTTTTGCAAACTTCTTGAGTTGTAAAAACTGTTTTATTATCGCCTAGAGGTTTCGTGTGACTAACGCACACTTTATCAGGGAGTTTTACAATACAACTAAGAATACCTGTATACTGATATACCTAAGTGAGGGAGAATTCGAGGAAATTAGCTGGGTTTGCCACTTGTGCTATAAAGAACACTGTCAAGATAGGCAGTTGCTCATTATAAATTGAAGTTATTGACTTTATACCTTATTTTTTTTAAGTCAAAGTATTGTCATTTGTTGTCAGATTGAAGTGCCTGCCTTGGATTTTGTCCGATGAGGCTGTGAACAGATTCTCGAAAAGGGACGCTGACATTGAAAGTATGTGTTGAGAAAAGATTCTAAATGTGTTCTAACAAAAGTATTTACAATATCAGCAAACTAACAATAATTGTTGGTTTTGAAAAAATTATTGGTGCATAATTTAGGATAGAGTTTAAAAATCACAATGCAAAATATACAATTTGCTGGTAGTTATTAAGAGCAGAGTTTTATAAAAGATCACAATAGCGCTTTGCACTATCATTAAAAATAGGTTTTGTCACCTTAGACCCAGCCCACATGATTCAGAGAAACTTTGCACTCCGCTCAAAGGCATTGTATGAGCAGCATGCATTTCTGACAAGAAAATTTTTCATAAAATTGACAATGAGCGTTTTTAAAATGTTTTATTCTAATATGTAAAAGGCATTACTGCTATAGGGATTAAAACCTGGTCCATGTAACTCAAATAAATGGTTAAAATCAGAAAATAACGCAAACTGTTCAAAGAAGGCTACTGAAATGGGATCCCAAGCTCTGTGTTAGTCGACGCCCTGCCAGGGGGGGGTTCCATGTTGCCCGTCTGAATTTTAAAACATCTCACGTCGGTGTGTATAAATGCTTGTCGCTTATTGTTAGCTTTGCCGTCACTGTCGCAATTTGGCCGAGGGAGGTTGTCTCTTGTCGCGATTTCATTTTACGCGCTGTCGCTACTTTTTGGGCCATGTCGCTTGTCGGAATTTACCCTGGCAGGGCCTCTTAGTCAGATAGCACTCTATGCAGTAAAACATGACAAATATCATTATTTCTGGCTGTGTAATACTCCAATACCGAAATTGCTTAAGAGGAAGACGAGTTTGTTTGTGCTTCTTGCAAGCCTGTAGCAGAATTTCTGAGCTGAAAAGCACGCCAACATTAGTACAAACCGGAAATTGTACTAGCTTGTTGTGTTGTTATGCAGCCTGGTAGATACCATATCCTGTAGTACTATAAGTAGCGCATAACATTAACACTCGAAAAAAAAATTGAGCAACATATTTGTCTATAAATTTAACTAATTGCACCATTCTATGAACAGCTTTCAAGCCCTGCTCTCCATACAATTCTTAGTAAAATGTCTGTAACACAGTTTTACCCTCATTAATGACACCGCATAAGAAATAAAATCACTCATCTGTACAGTTTTTTCCATGTTTAACGTTGTCTCTGCACTCGTTGATTAATTAACAATTATTCTTCGAGCCCAAATTGACTCAGAGGCCATGAGGGCGAGAGGAATAATCGTTTAAGTAAAATCCAACTAGTTGGTCAAAAATATTGTGAATAAAAAAATCTTAGCTAGTTAAAGCTAAACTAATCCTTTTTTGCCGCCAAAAAGTGCGTGCTTTTCGCTACTGGTAGGCTACATACATATAGAGGGGTGGCGAATGGTAATATCTGAGACTCGCCGAGACGCCGAGATCTTAATTAGAAATCCGAGACCGAGACTCTTTGGTAAAAAGTCTCGAGACTCAAAAAAGTAAAAACAAACCATGAAAAAACGAGACTTCGAGACTTATCATAAGCGCTTCCGAGATTTCGAGATCCTGACAAAATTTTCCGAGACCCACGTTTTTCGAGGTACCATTCGCCACCCCTATATAGCCTAGTAGTAGCTCAACCAATCAGAACGCAGCATTGATAATAGACCACTAGTTGCATTTTACTAATTCAGGATATACCGTTATTGAAACCGAGCTGGATGTTTTTCTTCTGACAATAAAAATCTTCAAAGACAACGAAAATTTGTTGGTGAACGTGGCTTTCCCATACAAAACTCTTAAACTCGTCAGGTTCAATTAATATGAGTCACAGCAGGGACCAGAAATTTGTAACGTCATTAGTGCAAAGCGCTATTTACATTCACTTCTTTAGTTGGTCCTGCTTTCTCTTACAGTGCAACTATACCATCGGACAATCACAAGCAGTGAACCTAATGCAACACAGGTACAACTTCAGATAGTAATAATCCACCAATCACAAAGCATGGCCTTTGCAACTCGTTCAAGTAAACATGTTTCCTAGGAGGTCAGCTAAAATGATAATAACTTTGAATAATAAGATCTTTGGAGCGGTCGTCGCCCTTAGTTCGGATTGTTCAAAATTCCTTTACTGCTGGCTTTGATTCCGGCCAACCCAGATGTGACAAAACATTTTCAGCTTGATTTACACAAAAGTCATGATTCCTAGTATGTATATTGTGTTATTTTATATCCTTTAATTAGCAAAATTGTTCTCTACGTATTTTCAACCACAGGCAGCCCAAGCGCACTATGTGTGGGTTCGGGCTTCAGAGGTCATTTGGTCGGAATATACTAGAATTATTAGTGTATTATCTGATGCTAAATAAACGCAAAAATCTTACAGATATGAAGTCTTCTTGTTTGTCTATCTGTACTAGTAACCTTTAAGATAACGAAGGTCGATATTTCTTGCATTATAACATGTGATTCGGGCCCTTAATGTTCGAATTTTATCACACGTATTCGAATCTACAACGCTAGGAAAGAAAAACATCATGATCACGCGAAATATTGATTCAAAAAGCTCCCTTACCTTTAGTTCATAGCCACTCTGTGTCCTACGGCCGGTTTAAACGCCGTTTAGTCGACTTTCTTTCCATCGAGTACTGAACACTATAAAAGAAGGGAAGCTTCCCTTCTTTTACGACGCGCGAACCCACACATAGTGCGCTTGCGCTGCCGGTGTTTCAACTGGCTCTGAGTACGGAATTATGCCCAAATTCATTGTTTAGATCTCAACTTGTGATTATTTGTCTCATTTTTTGGCTGTGTGGCCGCGGTTCATATAGTCGCACTGTAAATAATGTTACAAGCGCCGCTCCACACATGACGTAAAATTCGGCAGGTACAAAACGCAGGTCACAGGTCACAGGTCACAGGTCACAGGGCACAGGGCACAGGTCACAGGGCACAGGGCACAGGGCACAGGGCACAGGGCACAGGTTACAGGGCACAGGGCACAGGGCACAGGTCATAGGGCACAGAAAACGCAGTAAAAACAGTTAAGACACTCCATTAGGCTTTTTTGTTTTATTTCCGGTTACGCCACAATCAGGCATATGCTTGCCATCGACCATGCAAAGCCGTTTATTTTCGATAGCAAGCTTAAAAAGCTAAATGAAAACCTACCAAAGTATATCCCAGCAAAGATGAGGGAAATCTCCAAGAAGATCCTTGTGAGGCGAGCTCGGCTTCTTTGTAATCTGTTTCCTGTAGAATTAAAAAAAAGTAATGAAAACAGAAATGATCAAAGCCACATTGCATATCCTATACATCTTCTTTCATTCGCGTAATAAAATGGAACAAAGCTCGGTCCTGATGCATGGACTGCTAACAGCGATACCGAACAAGTACGTTAGGTTTTGAAGATTATAGTTATATAAAAAACTTTCAAATTATGCAAACGGTCTTGGTCTAAAAGGTGTCACTATTTCGTAACTACGGCTAGAATCATACCATGTTTCCATTGCTCAACTTAATGACAACTTAAGTCTTAAACATCAATGTACGCAGCAACAAACCGAAATCGGCAATTCACGATTGCAGCACAGTCGATAGTTAGCGAAGTAGACGTGTGTTGATAATTCACTAAGTTATTTTTCAGTTCTTCAGTGGAACTGAGGCCAAAATAACTTGTCAGCAAGTGCTGTTTTCTTACCTCGAAACTCTGGTCTTCCGCCATGTTGCTTTCTGCACAGACGAGGCTATTTTCCGTTCCATTCTCCTCTCAGAGCCTCGTTCCAAGTCCGCTCGCGTGGAGCGAAGAAAAAGCCTCGTTTCGAGATCTCCAGAGAAGGAACTCCTCAAGTTCCAATACAATGTGTAACTTTAGCCATTTACTTGTTCAACCCTCAGTACAAAACCGGAAAGCATGGTCGATGGCAAGCATATGCCTGATTGTGGCGTAACCGGAAATAAAACAAAAAAGCCTAATGGAGTGTCTTAACTGTTTTTACTGCGTTTTCTGTGCCCTATGACCTGTGCCCTGTGCCCTGTGCCCTGTAACCTGTGCCCTGTGCCCTGTGCCCTGTGCCCTGTGCCCTGTGCCCTGACCTGTGACCTGTGCCCTGTGACCTGTGCCCTGACCTGTGACCTGTGACCTGCGTTTTGTACCTGCCGCGTAAAATTTATGAAAATGCGTCAGTTTGCTTTTGTCCAAAAATACGCACGTAACGTCCACCGCCTTACCCCCCTCTTCCCTAAACGTCCAGTTAAGTGAATATGTCGAAACTTAAACACCTCATGTACAGTGTTTTTCTTGCCCCTGTGTGCTAGTAATATAAATCTTGACAAAGCAAAAGTTTAAGAGAGGTGAGCGGACAACAAAAAATCATTCATTGGGACCTCAATCAAAAGCATTTATCGTAGAGACGAGTAAAAGGAAAACCTGTTTTTTGGACAGAAGATTAACTTCCACATAGAATTAGAGGCAAAAAAAGGCAAGAACGTTATTGACTTGAAGATATGTAGGGATGGTTGTCGAACTAGCAGAAAATTAACACATTTACGTCCGCAAAAATGTTGCCAATGGATAAGCTCACATATACTGTACAATGCATAAAAAAATTTCCTTCTGCAAATGACGACAGCATAGTCAAAAATAACCCTGGAACTAACCTCAGCACTTGAGCGACATGTTGGACAAATTATCCTGTAAACTGCTCCTTCGAGAGTCAAAAGTCCTTGCAGACAACTTTTGCAGAAAGAGTGAAGACAGGGAAGAACTTTCGGTTCATTGTACTGATCGAGACACACTGCACACTCCAAATGCTTGCCTAAGGTGTCCGCCAAAGATGCCGCTTTAGCCATCGCTTGTCATATTCACTTCTTTTTCTACGATTTTAAAACGACTTCCACAGCTATACTGCACAAATGAAACGTAAGATACCCTGAGATTTCGAATTTCTACTTCCCGGAAAAATAGCAACGTGTCAAGTAGCCTGTGAAGCTCCTATTGGCGAGAACACTGACTGTTGACAGGTCTGATTGACATCGGCTTTTCGTTCGGCACGTAGCACGCGATTTGATCACAGAGTGGCAATAACAAAACAGTCCAAAGACTATTACCACGGGGAGGAACTACGCGCTCCGGTCAAAAGACTCAAACTGTCTTTAGGGACTTGTCAGAAATTAGCAGGGGGGGAGGGGGGGTGGAAACAGAGGGAGGGTCACAACTTTTTGAGACTGCAGAAAAGGGAGGGGTCATGAAAAATGGGCCATTAAAAGGGGGAGGGTCATGCAAATATGTGTCCGTGATCATGTAGAGGTTCACCCACAGAAGAAAAAAGAAGTTCTTTATTTTGTAAAAAAAACCTGGGAGAAATAGGAGAGTTGAGTGATCAGCTGTCAGAATCAGAGTCGGACTCAGCTTAATGCTGTCATCTAAAATGTATATATATGGCATTACAAAAACAGATTAGAAATATATTTTGAGCTTTCATAATACTGACTCACCCTAGTAGATTTTATCATTTATACTAGAAGGGGGGGGAGGGGTCATGATATTTTAGGCCAAGGTCAAGGGGAGGGTTAGCCAATTTCACTCCTATTGCAGGAATGGGTCATATAATTTCCGAACCCAAATTTAAAATT